TTCAAACAAAAATCCATCCATTCATACATCTAAACATTTGCATTCAAATTATTAGTAAGAAGTAAGATTGAAAGTTGAATTAATATTAGAACCGGTGGCTGCGTTCCTCTTCAATATAGTTAATTAATTATTATTTACGTGTTGCTGGTCTGTTGTAACGGCACTAACTTTAAAAAAAAAATATAAGCTCATGCCATAGCAGTGGTCTTATTCTTAATAAAATAATATGAATTGAAACACTCAATTCATCGACAAATGAATATGTACTTTGCGTACATTTTAATATAAGAGATTGAGCTAAGGATAAGTTCAGAAGCCGTCAAATTTTCTTTCTCCGCTGTGATTCGCTGAACGTCTAAAGAATTAATTTACATACGATATCACGTGAAGACGGCTTTTTTTTATTCATTTTAAATTTCAAACGATTTACTATGGTGTAATAAGATTTTTTAAGACTATTGTTTTTGAATAGATATATTTAACATATTACGATATGGTTTTAAACCCTTACTATCGAGACAGGACAAAAATATCATCATCATCATCAGCTCACTATACGTCCCCATCGAGGGGTTCGGAGCCTACCCTAAGTTAAGGGTGGTTAGGCCATAGTCAACCACGCTGACCAAGTGCAGGTTGATTTACGTCACACATATCTTTGAATTTCTTCTCAGATATGTGCAGATTGCATCACGATGTTTTTGATTGATGATCAACGTCGGACTAATGTTCATATGTAAATCGGAAATCGAAAAACACATTGGTACATGGCGGGATTCGAACCCGGGACTTGCAGATTGCAAGTCAATTGCTTGACCCCTGAGCCACCGACGCTCTTCAGCGACAAAAATATAACCGATCGATTTGAATTCAAATTTTCTAAAAATATCTTGTACTTTTACAAGTCGTTAAAACCACGCGATCCACGACCGCCCCACCCCAAGAATTAAAAATTAATATATATTTTTTCTGATTCGACAGCCCTGTTTCTTTGTTTCGTAAAGTTAATTTTACAAATTTCGTCAAAGTTATCCGATTAACGTGGCGAAAGTTTTCATTATTCAAGCTTGTGTAATATGTTCCGTTTATAATTACCGCGAAACGAGACGTGATTAAATATTGTTTACTTCGTCTTTGTTTATGGTTGAAGTATTGAGGTATCGCGTCTTTAATTTTTAATTAACGATTAAAGTAAACTTAATTAAATTGGCTTGAAATATTTAAGCAATCATGTAATGAAAAGTTTGACGAAGGCTCATCTTATCTTAGTAATATTATAAATAGGAAAGTTTTGATAGATGGATGTTTATTAGAAGATATCTCCGGAACGGCTCTGAACATAGTCTGGAAGTACATACAGGCTTATTACGTTTCTTTTAATTCAGCACAGACGGAGTCGCGGGTGACAGCTAGTATACATCTCGTACTCAGTTAAAATGACACCAAATGACCATAGACACGGACGAATTGAATAAAACCTAATCAATGCAGCAAATGATGTGCAAATTCAATGAGAAACGTCGATGCCGCGACTTAAACAGTTAATGAATATTCACAAGATCGTACCCGAGCTTTCCGAATTTGGACTGAAATATTGAATTGTTATTTGCCAACTTGAATGTGTATGTACATAAACAGAAATAATAGAAAATAATTACCAACCAGCGGTTCCTCGTCCGCGCAGGATAAAAAAAAACTTAAAGTAGCCTATGTTTTCTTTGTTATCGAGATCCGTTGAACCGTTCTGGAGATACCTTCTAACATCAGTCCATCGATACATTCAAACATTTATGATGTTAGTAAGATTTATTTAAAAAGGAGATCGAGAAAAAAATACGCATTAGAAACAACGTGTGTGCGGCTACAGGTGGTCACAATAGAATAGATAAACAACTAACATATTTTTAGACATTATTAGTTAGAATCCTTTGGCGCGAATGGCGCTCTTTCATCACAAAGTCAAGTGTCAGAATGATTAGTGAAGGGACATACACGTCGACATTTTAATAAAGCTAGTGTTGTACACCGGCAGTGTGGGATTTTCTTCCTAACAATATATAGAAAATAATATTTATTTACTTACCCATAAAAAAAACATCCACATATCATTCGGATAATAATGTCTATTCATGTGATAATTATCAATGCTACAAAAGCTAAACGAAATTAATCTTATCAGAAAAGCTTTACATTTTATTGCGTCTTTTAACGAGGGTCTTCGGGTTATGTGTAAACACAAAATTACGACCTCCCTTGTGCACGTTATTTATGTAAAAATTACACATAATCTTAATTAGATTTTCTGCCTTGTTTCATTAGCTCGCTTTTATTTCTATAAAAAAATATAAAATTTAATTTATTACTAATTATTAAATTCCTAATTTCAAGTAGTATAATTATATTTCTTTACAAATGTTCTAAAAGAATATTTATAGCCTGGCCACAAATATAAAACACATCACCGTTTGGCGGAAAAAATTAGTTGTTTTTGCGTGGTTTGAGGCGCTTTGACAGGTTTTCTATTTTCTTGGTCAGACTATAATATAATTTATCTTAGGTTATGTTTGGTTCCAATTGAAATACCTATTTAAAACAAGTTAATAAGCTACTGCGTACACTACACTGTCTTTGTCTCGCGAGACAGTTAATATTTTATTCAAATTGACATTTGAATTAGTTGCCGTGATTGCTTTCCTTGCGAAAGTATAGACAAACGATAATTTATGGCAGGATTATAGCGCGGGAACGGATGAAAGCCAATATGGCCACCGAAATGGGATTAGCCGATGATTTAAACAGACCATCCTACCCTCCTCTCTAATCTATTGTGCTATGAATCATATTTAATTATTTACGTCGCACGCCCAAATACGAAAAGATTTTATGTTAAAAACGATGAAGTTATATTTTAATAATTTATTTTAGACTATTTAATTACGCGAAAACTTAGTATTTTTTGTCATGATTATAGAAATTTTGTAATGTAACATTTTTAATTATATTATGGTTTCCTTATTTAAAATATGCTCCAACAATTTTAATTTTCACTTATTATGAACGTGCCCATTTATATAGAGCCCGCTTTACGAGATATAAATTATACCACTTAATAAAGATCTCTATTTTAACGGTGCAACATTAATGTTTAAATATTTTACACGAAAACCACGGATAAAATTTGAATAGAATAGAACTTTACACAAACACGGGGTAACAAAGAGTCTATACAGATACTAGATACGATGTCCTTCTAGATCAAGAAAACTATCAAATAGCCCATGCAATTTTAATTCTATTGATTACGTTGTAAAGAAAATTATTTGTATTTTTTAAACATTTAACTTTTGAATTGTAACGTATCTTTAACACAATAATAAAGCGCCTGCACAAATTTTATAGCAAATATTCTATTTAACATAACCCCGACATTATTTAACAGGATTCTCCCAAATATTATTTTAAACAAACAAACTCATTAATCTGTCTACATTGCGCCGCCAAATGAATTGTGCCACTTAATAAAGATCTAAATACCCGCGTGCCAACGCATAGGCTGTGTAATTAATATTTTAGAACATTACGATCAACCAGGTGCCATGTGCACCTTTATAATTAAAAATTTTGCAATAAATTTTAGTTGTTCACGATTTAAAATTACATAATTTAGTACTCCTTTAGAAGTTATTTTTATAAATTTGAACATGATAAAATAATTATTTCCACAAAACAAAACCAAATTAAATATTTTTTTATTGAAAAAGCTAAAATATCTTCGCAATTTGTCTATGCCGTAATTGCGAAAGGTGGAATACTTTTTTCGTCCAAAAATTTTATAGCATCTAGCAAAAGACATTTTTAATGTTAAACAAAGTGAATAAAGTAAATTATCTTAAGTGTTGCGACAAGAATACTTTGTGGGGATAATGTACTGCCATTTAAATAAAAAAAATACATATTTTGTTCCTCCAAATATTTGCTAAGGTAATAGAGAAGAAAAAAATACAATTCTAGGCGTAATCTTTCACAGAAAATAACTTGTTACGGTGCGTTTCCACTGCCGTAATATCTGCATGAAATATATTATCTTATCAAAGAATATATATGAAAAATATAATGACAATATAATAAAAATTCATATTTAATTCGCAGGTAAATCATATTTTCGCTTAATCTAAACCACGAATGTCTTTTTCATTACAAATTATTACATAGCAACAGATTATACGACGACGACAAAATACAGATGATTTGTTTTTTTTTATCTTACGAATAACTTACTTTTTAAATTGTAGCAGTTATTCTATCCACATAATACAAAAAAAAAGGCAAAATGAAAAGAAATAACTTAATTTTTATATTATAAATGCAAAGTCTTCAATATTCCAGACTATTCTGTTATAAATGCGAAATTCACTAGAAATTTGTGCTGAATCTATTTTTTTTTACGTTATACTCTCACTGTATTAAAAAAACTTTAGTTTTTTTATAATAAATTGAGCTATTTTTTACGATATTCTCTCAATGCATTATAAAAATAAACTTTGTTTTTTTTTATTTAACTGCATTTATATGTATACCATATTAGAAAAACGACAGAATAAAAGCATTTTAAAATAGTATAAATCAAGAGAAATACAGAAGCAGTCGAGCCTTTTGAGAATTCTGAAAATATTTAAGTAAATATTTCACAAACAATTATAAAAATCTTATACATTATTAAAGAGGTAGATTCACATAATCTAATTTAAAATATTTCTTTATTGGATCGTCGGTGGCTCAGGGGTCACGCACTTGACTTGCAATCCGCAGGTCCTGGGTTCGAATCCCGCCATGTACCAATGTGTTTATCCATTTCCGATTTACATATGTACATTTATCCGACCATCTTACGGTGAAGGAAAACATCGTGATGCAACCTGCACATATCTGAGAAGAAATTCAAAGATATGTGTGAAGTCAACCAACCCGCACTTGGCCAGCGTGGTTGACTATGGCCTAATCACTCTTAACTTAGGGTAGGCTCCGAGCTCCTAGGTGGGGAGGTTTAGTGAGCTGATGATGATGAGCAAATTGTACAAGTAAGAAAAGCTATATTATTTTGTACACAGTACAAAACGTCATTGGAATTAAATTTATTTCTTCAACACTGGCCTGGAAAAAATAAAAAAAATATTTTGTTTTATATAATTTTCACAGAAAATGTTCTTTTGAGAAAAAATATAATCGGATAATTCAACCCTAAATATGCAAAACTAGCTGTCACCCGCGACTCCGTTCGTGTGAAATAGTAAAAAAAAATTTAAGCCTATGTTATCTTCCATACTATTTTCTACATCTGTGCCAAATTTCATCAAGATCTGTTGTGCCTTTCCGGAGAAATCTTCTAACATACAACTAAACATTCGCATTTATAATATTAGTAAGATGATCGTTTACTAAAATATTTTCAAAAAATATACTCACTTCTTCTGAAATCCAAACTTGCTCAACAAAGTTGGCTGATTACTTGGCAATGATGTTGTTCGCTTCAGTCCTGATACTTTACAACTTGATTTCTTAACACCGTTTATACCGTTTCTTATTTCCTTACTATTTATTCTGTATTTATCCAGACTTATTGGTGATATTTCCGGTTGAGATTCACCAAACGAATCCTTAAAAAAGAAAAAAAAATTAGAAAAAAGAAAAAAAAATTTTTTTTTCTTTTTGTACAATATTTTTTTTGTTTTATTCAGTTATGAAATGTCCGAATAAATTGAACGTTCAAATGATAGTAGGATAAAATTAAAAAAAAAACCTATAAATCTGAAAAATCTAGTCACAGTTAATTTGGAGTATGACAAAAAGAGAAAATAAATACAATTAAAAATATACTACGGAAACATCATTTTGACATCTGTTCAATGTTACATCTATTTGTTTTTAAATTGGGTCGGGAATTGTTTAAAATTTACCTGTGTATCCACCGGCGTCACTAAATTCTCCATTGGATATGTATTATCAATCACAGAATCGTCACTTAAACTGCTACTTAACTGAGTTTCTTCTTTTTTTTTAAACGGATTTCTATTCTTATACTTCGGCTCTAAAATCGGACTTTTCTTACATTTCACAGGACTAGAAATAGGAGAATTTTCTTTTAAAGAATTAGGAATTTCTGAACATTGAGTGTCTATTTCTATAGCATTATTTAATAAATCAGTTTGATTTAATTCTAGATTTTCTGATTTCGGTGATTCTTCTAATATAAGATTTTCGTTTATGTTATTTTCAGTACTAGATGCAAAAAACTTGCTTTCAATAAGATTATCTCCTAATACAGTCCTTGGAAATTTACTTAGTCGTTTTAAAACAGAAAAACTACTGTTATTAGGAAATTTTCTATTTAATCTCTTTCTACTTTCTATTATTGGTGATTTTTTATTTTGTTCCATTTTTTCATCTAATATTTCATCTTCGGTAAGAGCTATGTTGTGTATTTTTTGACTTTCTGTTTCCTCATTATTATGAGTTATATTATTTTTTTGTTTTTTTGCTGACGGTTCACAGTACATACTACTTAATGATTCTATTGTTAAACTGAAAAAAAAACATCGTATGTTTGTGAATGTTACTAATATAAATGCGAATATTTAGATGTATGGATGGATGTTTGTTTGACAGTATCTCTAGAACAGCTGGACTTTGCTGAAATTTGGCATTCATATAGAACATAGTCTGGGAGAACACATAGGTTACTCATTTAGTTATTTTTTAATTTCGCTCAGACTGAGTCACGGGCTACAGCTAGTTAAGGAAGATAATAGGAAAAATCTAAACATACCTTATATCTTGTGTTTCCGGTACATATTTACTAACTAAATTAACAACTTTCTTTTTTATCCTTGTCTGTGGTATGGCTATTATAGGTTCTAACTTTTTAATCTTTTTCAACCACGGTGTTGGATCTTCTAAATATTGTCTATATCCTTCATTCCATATACTTGGATGATTTGATGGTTTTTCATACCAACCCGATGATTTTATATTACATTTCTAAAAATAAAAATTAAGCATTTTTATAATTAAAAAATAATAGATGCAAAAAGATATTACTGACAATATTATGCAATGATTTTGTTGAAAATATGTACAATTTCTCGTTCACATGAATATTTTTGTGTAAAAAGTAGTAATAAAAATATCAAACCCCATTTTGCCTGTTATCAGGATCCCAATCATCCATCTTCTTCAAACTGAAAGGGTCCAAATTACCAAGAGCCAGCTGGTAAGCTATTTTAGGGTCCAACATTTCTCCCGCATTAACACATAATGCTTTCTCCAAGTCTGAAAAAGTATTACACTTCTAGATTACAGATTACTGTTAATTTTATCTGTATTAATTTAGAACCATCAAAACTAAAAATAAGATCAGGCTAGGCTAGACTAGCCTAAGCTAGGCTAGGTTAGGCTTTACGCAGTGTCTGCTATAAAATGTGAGCTATAAATAAAACATACCTTCATCATCAGTCTCAGTTAATCGAACCATCCGCCTTTCTACAGGATCGTAAACATATTGATGCTTGAATGTAGCCTCAGCTTTTAGAAAGTTTTCTCTGTACTCGTCTGTTACCACTAGATTCAACCGGTTAAAGAAACTTGGTAACTTTCTAAGAGCCTGGAAATTTAAGATACATTGGATTTCTTAATAAAAATTGAATTTAAAAAACAAATCATTAAAAATCTTAGATAAGCCTATCATTAAAAGCATATAGCTGTAGTCCGCAACTCTGACAAAACGCAATAAAAAAAATCAATTAGTAGGCGACTGTTCCTAGCTTTACCCTATTCCTTCTCCAAATTTCGACCTGATCTATTATGGAGTTATTTGTTAACAACCATCCATCAACGAAACTTTCGCAATAATATACTAAGGTATAAATTAAATAATGATATTTGTTTTTCTACTAAGGAATTGTTTACATTAAAAATCTATAAGTTAAATTGATCTACCATTTCTGGAAACAAAACAAGTGTTCAAGTTTTTTAGGCTATGTATCGATTACTCACATTAGCAAAATTCGGGTCCTGCGTCGCAACAACGAATTGTCTAGCTTTAGCCAATCCGATACCAGGTAACGATGCTAAATAATCACATCCAGACATAATGCACATCTGTCTGAACTTGTCAAATGTATAACTTTCAATCGCACATTTCATAACCAAAGGTAGCTTTGCTGTTTCCACCAGAGTTCCAGTTCCGTCAAGATCCATTTTGAAAAGTACCTGAAGATTTAATTTTATCATTTGTTTAATTATAATGTATTAATTGTTTTTTTTTCTAGCTTTTTTACTAACTTAAAAAAAAACAGACTTTGTAAGTGTCTTTTATTTCTTTTATAATGGTAGGATCATCAAAACAAGAATCTTTATGACTCAAACTGCAGACATTTTTTCGAACAGAAGGTGTAAACAATATGTTTTTGTAAAGATATTTCAGTAAGCTATGATAATACAAACTTAATTCCAATATGACTATTTACCTTAGTACATCCAAATAATATCAAATCGGAATCTTCAGTGATAACTAATTGTGCTATATTATTTATATTGAGGTAGGCAAGTTGTGCATCTGCCTCATAGGGTGCTACAATACAGTCCACATTGCGGTTCCTGCACTCTTTGATGAGAGCTAGCGCCATCTCATGGGTCACATCTACACTGCGACGCATGTACGAACGAGCTTCCTCCATCTAAACAAATATAACTAAGAATGCAGAAATATATGTCTTTGTACATAAAGTACTTTACAAAAAACTTGATTATGTGTTCTTCCAGACTATGTTATAAGTCTATGCCAAATTTCAGCAAGATCCTTGCATCTGTTCTGGAGATACTAACATACATCCATCCATCCATCCATACATTTAAACATTGGCATTTATAATATTTGTGAGATTAAATAACTAAGCTTTTTATATTCTGATAGCAATACTCAAATGAATAGTATGGTGGTTTATTATATAATAAAAAAAAATATGAACCAATGGTTTTAAACTGTCAATCTGAATATTTTAAGTTCATAATAATTTGATTATTACCTGACCCAAACTCAACAATTCAGCTGCTCTCTTCTTGGATAATTGTCGAGACCTGTAATTTAGTAATAGTTTTAATATCTACAATTCATTATAGTCTTACTATTTCATAATTCTATAAGCAAGCCCATATTTTTAAGGTTATTAAAATTATTAGAATTGGTAAAAACACCTGAATATATTTTAAAAACTTACTCTCTTCTCTTCAATTCTGTCATGGCTTTAGCAGGTAGATGGCGACCATCAAACACCATTATGGGTTTTATATTTTTTGATAGTAACATAGTTACATATTTTAAACAGTACTTCACATAACTGAAAAAATATATCAACACAGTTTGCAATCAAACTTAATACAGTTAATGGGCAATCATAATGGACCTTAACATTAAAAAAATTAAGATAAATATTCTTACATGTCTGTCTCTAATCCTTGCACAAGTTTGTCAGCGCAAGCAAATGCACCTTTATGCAACCAACAATATGAATCTATTGCAACCGTACATCCATTGAATTCGCCTACATTTGCCCTTCTGGAGGCTTTCTCCAAAAATGGGATTAATCCGGTAATACCCATGTTTGTTAACTGGAGCAGTTACTCCAAAGAATCAAAATTTATTTCCTCACTTTTAGGGCATTTTTATATCAAGTTGATAGTATCTTATCTTAAAAATACATTTTAATAATCATCGTTCATAAAATACTAAACAGCTGAAATAACAGAACACCACAACTTCGGAACGTCAATGTCAGTTGTCAGTGTCACGATTCCCGCCAATAACCAACAACCAATAGCAGTGAGTAGGTAAGTAAGACCCAGCTTCGTTCTTTAAAATGTAACTAATCCCGTTTATCTTGATAATTTTATACGAAATAAGAAAATGAAACTGACTTGTTAAAATTACAAATTGCTAAAGAACATATTAAAAAACAAAATCATTAATTTGTTAAATTAATATGTAAAAGTTGTAATATTGTACCTGTATTTACAAAGCATTTACGATTTATTTTTTTTATTGTAAGCTTAATGGGAAACCCAAACATAACATGTTATAAAAATGAAGGTAGTAAAATAAAATCTTTCAATTAGCTATCATGGAATTACAAACCTAGTCTTTTGCTAACCATGTGAGGGTGTCGTTTTAAAAGGCCTCTGTATTTTATATCAAAGTTAAAAGAATTGTCTAGGTGTAACAAGCAGCAAATAGTACTATTTATGGTTCAAATTACTTAAAATGAGAATAAACTTACGTGTCCTGTCTTCAGCCGCGGCGATTGCAATAACATGTGCCGTATCCGCAGCTGCTTATTTTTATAAAAGTCGCATCACAGAAATCAACGAAGTGATGGTGTTTTGTAAACTGCAATACAACGCCTACAATTACTTTGACAAACTTTTAAGTTTCATTGATGCTGCGACGAAGAGCGTTAATGTATGTATGCCAGGAATTCACAATCCCGCCATTCAGGGACGCTTGGTACAGTTAATAAAGAAGAAAAACATCAAGGCGAGAATAATCATTGATCGGTCCGGTTACAATAAGTCCACAGAATTTTTCATAAAGGAGCTTATTGATGCTGGTTAGTAAATTAATTTAAATTCTTAACCCATACCTGATGAAAAAATAATTCTGGAAATATAAGGTGATAAGTTATAAATCACTACATTTCTACGCTTTACGACTGAAGGTTTTACACAATGACGACTATTTGTGGTCATTTAAAATAGCAACTAAAACACCAAAGGCTTAACACGCAAGAATAAAACGTACACATATAATTCAAAAGTACAATGACATTAATGGTGTAATGTTTAGTAAATATGTATATTTAATCTTGCGCCCTCTTACTTTCTGTCTATAAAAAGTCAACAAGGTGCTGCACTTAGAACTTTTATGTCAGAAATGCACGAACGGTTGATTTATTTCTCTTGAAGTGATAAGGCAATGATTGCCAGAGTTAGAACTACGTATGGTTCACTAAGTATTATTCATTATGTTGAATTTCGCATAAGTAACAAATAAACAATTTTTTTTCAGGAGCGGAAATAAAATGCGAAAAAAATGATGCGGTATTTACAATGCAACATAAGTTTTGTTTAATTGATGACAGGATTCTCATGACTGGTACGCTGAATTGGGGCAACGACCGTTCATGCGACCACTGGAACTATGTGTATATAACTAGCAAACTACTCCTGGTTGATCCAGTGAGGAAGGAGTTTTATAGAATGTGGGAAGAGTTCAGTAGTGATTTACTGCGTAAACCGTATTCAGAATACACAACCAATGACAGTGACGCGGAAACTGTAGAAATTGTAAATCCAGAAGAAAACACCGATGAAAGTGGTGACTTCGAGTCGGTCGTACGTGTCCCGACCATAGACAATACAGAGTTGACACCTAATATAGATGCCCTCATATTTTAAAATTAAAATTTTTAACTTACATTTTTAAAATAATTTATTTACAAATGTTTTATTATTCAAACATGCCAATTAATCGCAAGGTTTTAACAATTTTTTAATTTAGCATTAGACTGAAAAAGATGTTTTTAATATTACCGGATAGCATGAGACATTTGTTTTAAAGATATTTCTCGTCACACCAATCAATGGTGACTATCAACCTGATTTTTTTTTCATTTGTTCTAACTGCGCTATTTTCCTCAATTGTTTTTCGATCGAAACTGCTTTTAAGAATAAAAGTGTTTCCCAATTCTCTTTTAGGGATAAATTATTTTCATTTCTATAATTTGCCTGTCCAAACTTATTGTTTTATCTGAATCTTTCATTTTTTGTAATTAGTGTATATTTAATTGTTTTAAAGATAGCTATGGAATAAATATTAATATATTTAAAATAAAATTTGAAGAATAAATTTAAATATGTTTTTAAAATTGTTTTATTTACTTTTCATATGTTTTATTTAGATGAAACAAAATGTGAACAGTGGCAGAATATTATAGTTCTAGATTTTATATATTGTAGATAATAAACTTATATAAATAGTACAGTCACAATTACTTTTAAAAACTAAAATATTATTTTAAAACTTAACTCTAATCAGGAAATTCCATTGCCTTTCTTTTACAAAAGCATATTGTTGTCTCTGTTTTGCCAAAGAGAAAGACAGTAAAGAGATTTTAATACCAATGTGGCAATGGTAACACATTTGATGACAATCTACACTTATAAAGTATATTTATCAGTTCTTAGAGAAAATATAAGATTACTTACAACCATGTATACATATTAAGAAATATTTAAATGATTAAATAATTATTCACCACCTCGAATGGCTTTATATTTTGCTATTTCATTAGGAAACGTTTTTGACAATTCAGACAGAAGATGGCTCTTGAAGCGCTTGTATGAATCAATTTTTCCTTTAACTTCTTCATTCTTCGCCAAGGCTTTGTCAATGCAGTCCTTAGTGTAAAGTTGTGGATTTCTACCTTGATCAATGTAGCTGTAATAAAGAAAATCCCATATTACAAGTATGTTATTAAATTTCTTGTAGGAATATATTTAGTTGTTGAAATCTAAGTTAAAAATACAAATAATAAAAAATATTTCATCACTATTACACTTTTGTGGTTGCATAATATGGATTCCTAAGTAATCTGTATTACATTGAAATAATGGCTGTAACAAGATAATCTGTCCAATACTTACTCAAACACTTCAGTTGGCACATGGATATCATGAACTTGAGATTTCAACTTGTCAACTTCTTGCAGTCCAGTAACAAGTGATTGTCTGAAATAATAATATTAATGAAATGCATTGATATAAGTTGAGTAATAATAAAACAGTACTTTGTTTTAAATGTGGATATGTCATAAAATAAATATACATTATAAAGATGATTTCAAATAGGCAGATCCTATTGTAAAGATTGTTTATATCTGATTTTACTTACATCTTTTGATTCAATACACTTTGTCCTTGTGGTTGAAAGTCACTAACAATAATACGTATCTGTCGTACGTTTTCTATGAACATCTCTAATTGAGTTTCTAAATTTTCGAGAGGCGACGACATTCTAAAAGATTTCCAAACTAATATAATCTGCAAATAACAGTTGACTTGAAAAAATGACAAAAGACCAAACAGAAACTGTGAATTATAAATATTTTACAACGGAACAACGGAGTATTGGAATGACAGTGATTAACAAATTGACAGATTGACAGGTTATCATAGACAAATAAAATGTTTTCGACCCAACGACCCAACCATTAACACATTTCTTGTAGTGCCAGTCCCCGTTATTTTTTTTACATTTAAATAAAAAAAAACCATAAAAGAATTGATGGAATACACGTGGCGAAGCAAAGGCAAAGCTGTGGTTTATTTTAGTTTTTTTTTCAGCAATAAATAACTTTTTTACTTTCCATGTTATCAGTGACACTGTCAATGTCATTGTCAATCTGACTGTCAATGTCAGCGACTTGTTATATATTCCTCTATAACCTTAATTTAATTTAAAGTTTATTAAAAAAAATAACAAGGTCTAGTCAAATATAATTTAACATTATACTATCAATAAGTCCATACGGTACCATTTCTATCTTATGAAAATATAATTTTCATTCTCAAATATGGGTTGAAATTACTAATGTCAATATTGGTACGTTTTTTCTAAAAATATGTGTTATGCAGAAGAAATAGATAAACATGCTTCACCATTACAATCTGCATTTGCTGGTGGAGCGGCTGGTGCTGTTACGAGAGCAATAGCACAACCTTTGGATGTTTTAAAAATAAGATTTCAATTACAAACTGAACCTATCAAACTAGGCTCTAAATACAGTTCTATGATCCAAGGACTGTCTTCAATCGTTAAGGAAGAAGGGTTTTTCGCACTATGGAGCGGTCATATACCTGCACAATTGCTGTCAATATCTTATGGTGTACTACAATTTTCAACATTTGAAAAACTTACAGAATTATGCAAGACATCAGATCCCAACTTTTATGTTGAACATAAACATTGGTTAAACTTTACGAATGGGGCCACCGCGGCAACAGTAGCTACGATAGTTTCATTCCCATTTGATACTATAAGAACAAGACTAATTGCAGAACAAAAGACACAGAAAGTGTATAAAGGTTTTTTAAGTGCTTTCTCTATCATTATTAAGACTGAAGGCAGTAAGGCGTTGTTCAAAGGTTTAGTACCAACATTAGCCCAGATAGCACCTCATGCAGGAATTCAGTTTGCAGTGTACAAATTATTAACAGACAATATTTTTAATAGGATAAAGTTTTTTCAGAGATCTACAACATTTGGAGTTATTGAATCATCATTGTTAGCTAATTTCTTAGCTGGTGGTATAGCAGGAATTGTATCTAAAACTGCTATATATCCATTTGATATGGTTAAAAAAAGGTTGCAAATACAAGGATTTCAGCAACATAGAAAAGGTTTTGGTAAACAAATGTATTGCAATGGATTATTGGATTGTATTAAACTTACTATAAACGATGAAGGGTTTCTAGCACTTTATAAAGGTTACGGACCCAGTGTACTTAAAGCTATTTTAGTGTCAGCTTTACATTTTGCTGTTTATGATGAGATTAAATACTTTTTATTGAGATTATAACATTAACATTTGAATACACACTTAGCAAGTGTTGCCATTTTATGACAATTTTAAATTGTCATAATAAGTAGTAAAGGCATGTCAGTAGTGTAATGTATAATATTTAGTCCAAAGATTTAATATTAGATATAATTACTTAGAAAAAGGCTGGAGAAAGTTGTTCTAGTTTATGTATTAAATACTGAAAATTGGATCATCTTTTCATTTCATCAGTGTTCTGTTTATTGTCTACATGAATACAAACAATGTCTAATAAAATCTTACTCTACTATTTAAGTTATAAAATTGATATGTGCTTCATAAACTTGTAACTCTGATTGTACTTTAGTATTTTAATACCAGTATTTTTGTGTTAAATATCTTCAAACAAATTTAGGTATATTTTTTTTAGTTTTAAACTTCCGGACCTCTTAAAGTATTTTTTCTTAAATGTTGTGATAAACTAGATCTATTGAATTGTAAGCCTAAAATATTAATATGCAAAGACTAGCAATATAAAACGGTGCTTTTTATAAGTTTTAATTTGTGTAGTGTGTTCATCTGATAATTTACTGGAAATAAAACCTGAAAATGAAATAAATCTTTTGCGTTTTATTAACTACTGTTAGGAAGACAATCCGACACTGTGCCGGTGTATTGACGCAACACTAGCCTTACTAAGGTGTCGACATTTATGTCCCCTCACTAATCATTCTGACAATTGACTATATAATGAAAGCGTGCCATTCGTGCCAAAGGATTCTAACTAATAATTTCTAAAACTACACTGTTATTCACTTTATCATGTTAAATGCCTACAAATTCCGACGTGACGCAGCGCACATCATTTTAGGGATCGTCGTATTGTATTGGGGGGCACACCTTTCACTTATTTTTCGGCACCCACGATGAGCCATCCTGGCTCTAAATTCCTTAGACAATACCCATAAAGTTTGAATCATTAAATACACGGGCTTGTATTACAACAAAAGTATTAGTAGTTTCGTTCAATTAGTAGGTGCCTAACGCTAAAAAAACTAAATAGGGTTGTCGCTTTAACTTTATTGAATGCTAAATATACGTTTGGTTGTAAAATTGTGTTATTAATTAAATTCACGTGTCTGCAATTCCAAAAAATATATTACAAATATTATTCTTTTTAAAAAATTATTAAAAATTAAAAAAAAATACTTTAAAAGACAGTATTATTTGTTGCATAAATTAACGAAATAATTATCGGGAAAACAAAAAATTTACCCTTTCGTCTAAAATAAGCTAATGTACAAAGTTTTGAGTCAATTTGCAGCAACTAAAAGGCCGCTGCGAACTTGTCTTCAATTGTTGCTAATACAAAAATCTCCTTACAAAAAAGTTCAACGCCTGGAACACTTTGAAGATAAAATTAACGAGATTATTTTATCCCGTAATTTTAAAATAATCAAATATTTAGAATGCTTCGCGTTGCTTAACTTAAACAAGGTATGTCACAAATTAGAAACAATGTATCGAAAAGAAATTGTGCTATATTTCAGTCAAGGGATGTTCTAACTTTACAATATATTTTGTGTACATATATCAACCATATGATACAACGTAGCCCATATTTCTCATCAAAGTGTCCTTTATTGCTGGCTGTAATTCCTTTTTCATATAAGTAGTTAGTAAAGTCCGTATACCTTTGGTAAATATATCCTCCATTTCTCTAGAAATATCTTCAATTTCATCCAAATCATCATCAGGCCTAAACAATTTACTTCTTTCATAGTTAACTCTACTACGTGGTTCGTAAGTTTTCCAAACATTAGAAGATTGTTCTAAAATGTCTGAATATCTCTCATTTAAACGAGGATCGAAGGTAAATTCGTCTGATCGTCTCTTTCTTTTTAAAGGTTGATTATCCTTATTCCTGACAGAGTTTTTATTAATATATTTTTCACAACCGTACGCATAAACACTGATAAATCCAGGTTCGACGAATTCCGAATCGGTTTTCACGTTGAACTTTCCTGGTTGCTGGTTTAGTGGAGTTGTGTGGAAACCTATACCGGCTTTTCTTAGTCTTAAGATCATGTTACAACCGTTTCCTCTGGATCTGTAAGAGTTTTCTTCGTCTGGGTAAGTCCGTTGTCTCCGATTGGATGGCGTTCTATCGAACTCATTAGTGTCGTATAGATCTACGCTGCCACTAATGGTGATGTCATGGAATAATAACATGGTGTCTAACGATATATTCCGAGGATCGAAGTAGCATTTCTCGACGCGAACCCAATCGCTGTTCTGTGGCAGCCTGACTCGCATTCTAGTTACGTACATATCGGCAGGAGCGCTTCTCATTTCTTGGTATAAACTGTAGCCATTTAAATCTATGCTTTGACTCTGTAATTAAATATAAATGGTTTTATTAATTTTTAGTGCTAGCAACAAAGCAAATTAGTATTAACTGTCTTAACCTATAACGTTAAAACTTCTCATACTTATCACGAAAAGATTATCTTACCAAAGGCATGTCGATACTTTTTGCATGGTTCCTCTTTTTGCGTTTCATTTGATTCAAAGCGGATTCTAATCTAGCTGAGCATCTTTCTCCTACAACTGGGACTGTAGTCAAAGGCGGCAGGCCACCGGGGCCTGGAGCTAGGGGACCCGGTCTGCCGTCGAAACGCTTCACTTCGAATAACGGAAGGAATCGCGATGCTAAAACAACAACGAACTTGAGTGTTAGCAACCATTGCGTTAAATATTAATTTTGCAGCACTTGTAGCAACATTAATTATATACAACGTATGCCAGTACCGTTTACAGTTATGACAGAAAAAGGGCTTATCAGAAAGTACACTAAGTGGCGGCTTAAACCTTTAATGACTTTGAGTGTGGCAGTAACACTGAGAAAATAGACAATGTTTACTAAACAAAATAAAAGAAAACGAAAGTCAGTTAACAATTCTTTCTCGAAACTATCCTACAATTTCTATTTTCTTCCATTGTTTTTGTTCATCAGCGTAAAACAATTGTAGTTGCAAACACTATTACATGCCAGTTAGGAGCTTTCAAATAAAACCTATTTTAAATTAACATTTGCATTAGTATGTTATGGCATGTAATAATGAGAATTTCGTAATGTTTGTACAATTGTATAAAGTGGGTAAATTAGGTACTGAGAAAAAGCGTGTGAACAAATTACACAAAGTTTACATACAATTAAAATATTTACTTCATTAGAATTTACAAATCAACTAGAATTTGGCAATAAAAATAGGTAGCCCTAAAATGTTTCAGTTTTAAGCCAGCATCATAATACGATATAAATTCTACATTGAATAATTGTAATGACATATACTGAAAAAAATTTAAATTCAAAGTTCGTAATAGTGTTAACTAAAACCTTAATGAAGTATTAATAAAAATATTAAAAACAATTAGTGCCCATTAAAAACGCAGACTTGAATATTAATCCCACCTTTCTGAGGCTCTTCAGGGGACACCTGGTTGTTGTTAGCCAACACCGTTTTCGCCAAAAATATAAACAGCCACCATATTTTCACCATTTTCAACATTTGCAAACATGTAATTAAATCTAACCTCTATGTTTATACTCAAAACGTTTGTCCGTTGTAATTTAAAAAGTCAAACTGTCAAACTATAAGCGCGAAAATTGACAATGTCTGCCATTCACTGCGATGTCGAGACGAAGAATAAAATTCGATATAAGAAATGCAAGCAGTGGAACTCAATTGTGGTGGTAAGCGGCTACGTGGTTGAACCTTAACTATGGAAGTCTCAGAGAGATTAATCTCAAATTACTAGAGCGAAAAATTTAAGATGTCATCACGTATTCCCCTGCCTAATTAGCTTGCTCATATGTCTTTATTTTATGACCATTGCACATTGCAATTACCAAGAAAGTCCTCTTTTGAAATTTCACGAATGAATAATTAATAGTTTTAGATATGATAGAATTGCATTAAAAGTTTTCATATTGTGAACGATTTTCCTCTAGTTTTAACTTTTATTTTTGTTCCGGAGGGGGAATCTCCAAATGGTGCCCTATTTTCAGACGGAAGAAGATGTGACCTACGAAACCCCCCTTGAAAGCCAACATAGATGGTAGAAGAGACTTCCGGCATCCCTGATGAACTCTCCGGAAATAGCTAACATTAAGAGAATAGAGCAAATCGAAGCTAATACCGCATGATCCGTAGTCCGTACCCTTAATCATTAGGATATTTGGCCATTTAATTATTATAGCTTATTATTTCTTGTATTGATTTTTTAATATGTAATAATTAATGATTTAATTTATATATTAAATACATAAGATAAGTAACTATATAACATATCGGTCCGCTTTTGTCTCAGACGACGTCAAATCTCGCCAGCTTGTAACTAGAGTGTGACGAAATTGTGAGAAGGAAATTAGGTTATGGCGTTACAAATTGTTAACTCTCTTTTACCTACGTCCGTTGTATGTTTATACTGGTTAAGGAATGAAGCTATCAACGGATCCATTTAAATTCTTGGGACCTCGACTCCTAAATCAATGGGAATTAAAATCTGAAAACACTCTTGTAAATTCTGTATAAAAAAAATAAAGTAGCTAACTGGGAATAATGATTTCAAAAGTTAATTTAAGTGTTTATTTCAAATAACTAGTAAAATATCTGCTAAAAGCTAGAACATAAGCTAGATGATTCAAGCTTTATAAGCCGATCTATTAATAAGTTAATAAATGAACTCTGTAAGGGTCAATGACCAGTGTAAATCAGGTTAAGCGTAACTCAAAGTCCACATTATCTATGGAGACTTCAAGATAAGGTAGGACCTTATCGCGTGTTACCGTCATCTAACACACGGCTGTATATTTCTTTTATCTTATCAGTGTAACGGAGCCTTATTTGTTAACTCTTTTGTTTATAAATGTTTTATTGCGTTTAGTCTGAGTATGATTTGAAATTGCTTACAGAAAATGATGTTGGCGCAACAAATGGGAAACATAACCCCTAACAGTCAATAAAAATCGTATAGATTTATTTTGGTTTTTGTTTATTTTAAGCATAGTTTTCCACTGTAGAAAGACTTTATAGTAACAAGTTGTCATCACTCGCATTCTCTTTTTAAAAAATTACATAAAAATATGTTTCATACGAATATTTCGCTACACGATACTGAGGGTTATGCCTAGTTTTTATGCTCATTTTACATAGATAGAACAAAAACCATAACATCTCATTTAAGCTAAACATGCGCGATAGCCCTTTTGTAGCTCAAGTAACTATTGTAAGAAGGCGTAAATTATTTTAAAGCTTGGACTCGTCTTTTTAAACGAGTCTCAGTTATCTTTCGAATCGTCCACAAAAGCGACATTTAAAATTACTTTTCTAATGCATTATTTCACCTTAATTTTAGTTTTCTATTCAAAGTTGTAATTGTTCTTTCTTGTGTAAGTACATTCATTGTTTACGAACCATTTTGATATTTCCGTGGAACACGAAATCTTACGTAAGAAGTGTCACGACTAATTGTAATGTAAATACATACAAAAAAAGATAGTACTTAGTTACATATCGTTAAAACAATGTCACATTAAAGAGAAAGTTTGTAAAATGATAACAGTTTGAAGGTAAATTGTCTTTAAAAGAAATGCTCAGATAAAACACCACGCTTGAGCGGTAATAAAAAACATAAATTATTAACAACATAAAATCGATTCGTTTAATTGTTAATTAACGGTTCCTTAGTGTTGATTTCAATATCAAACGTCCGTCAGGCAGTATGTGGGAAGGAGTTCGCCTAATATTTACTATTAGAAAAAAAGGTTGGCAGATATGTACAACATCAAGGGAGTATCACAACACAGTTAAAAGAAGTAATTCTACTTTTAAATTATTTTTCTTAATTTAAATTTAAAAGACACTGGCTATAAGTATCCACATATGGTAACCATTGTTAGTAGGAGACCTTGGCCTCTAAAAAATTTGGTGAGCTCAGTAGAGTGAAACAAAAAAATAAAATTAGGAGTTTCATAGTCTTCACGTCTATTCTTTGTTAACATTTTCTTTATTTTTAACACATTTTTATGGAGCTAAAAACTAAACAGATATGGTTGGTATTCAATATAAGTACTTATAAATGTATTTTTTAAATCAATTAAACATAAATTTGTTTATGTAATAGAATCTAGGCGGAAGTTGTAGGCTTTCAAAGTAATCGATATCAAAACGTCAAGGTTTCTCGGTTTACTGGAATTCTATATTTTATAACATTGATATTATATTACGTATAGTTAACGTTGTTTCCACGCATTCTGAAGTCATAATTATGACATTTTTCAAATAAGACAAGCTTATGTTACATACTTGATATGAAAATATGTTAATAATCCATTTTACGAATATTATAAATGCAAAAGTTTAGATGGATCTCTGTTTGTTAGAAGCTATTTCCAGAACGGCTAAAGATCTCGCTGAAATTTGTCATCAAATGTAGAACGTAGTCTGGAAGAAAACATATGCTATTATTTTTTTTTTATTTCTGCGGCGACGGAGTCGCTTGCAAGAGCCTGTAGTAAAATAAAGCCAATGCCTATGATATTATTTATTTTTATTTCAAAACAAAAAGTCGAAGTTTAAAACAAACGAATATAGAAGAGCTCACAAAATTGGATTGTTGTCTATACAATGTCATCGTCCGGTACATTATGCAAGCTCATGGGTGCGCGGGTTTGGCTCAATGTGGTGCAAGCCAAGCCCATTGTTCGGTCACAATGGGGAAAGCATCTGCTATAATTTTGAGCGCGCGACCATAATGCTTAGGGCCATAAAGCTAACGATTATTATGTGGAACAAAATGTAACGCAATCATCTGTTAAGCTGAGCAAATGAACAAAAAGTAATCAGTTTAGGGCGATTTACTAACAGCTAAAGGGATAAATTGATCTCGCTAAAATTTAGCATAGAGGCAACGTAGTCTGCAAGAACACATGTAGCTTTTGTTAAAGATCTAGCAGCTAGTTATTAAAGATCGCTTGTTTACGAGCCACACATGTCCTCGTTCCACATTTAAGTTTAAACTAACTACTGTCCCATACACGAATCTATTTAATAAATTATTTAATTATTTAAAATTCTAAAAGCGATTTTTAAAGTTATGGTTGACATTTAAAGTAAAATTGTAGGAACTAACTGATAGTCTATGTGTGAAATTGTGAATATTTAATTATTACCGTAATAAATATGTTAATATGAATGACGGAATAACATTATTGGCTATTAACATAACACATTGTATCAAAAAGAAAAGACTAACGTTGATGTCTTTAGTATCAAAGTGCGCTTACTATTAAAAAGACATCAACGTTGCAAATTACAAAGTGACTTTATAAAATACAATGACGATGAATTGTAATATAAAATAAACAATATGTCGAAGCTTCGTTAAAAAAATGTAATAAAATTCTAATTTGTCGTTTATTACAAAACCTACGTCATAATATATCATTATAAAATCGATACTTGTAAACATTAGTTGCTTTTCCATGTGTAATGTTTATCGCGAAAAATATGCTTTAAAATGTTGCTAAATGGTCAATAGCTATTTATAAAACGATATTAATAAATGATAAACGACAAGTTGTTTACGTTCATTAATCGAGCATATCGATTAAAATTTCTTCCAATGGAAATTCTGTTCCTTATCTCGGGTTGATTGTGTAAGTTCATATTGAAATGGCATATAAATATCGATTTAAAACCAGTGTGTAACATTATTTATACCATTTCATGTATTTTATTAAATTGAAACAATAAAAATAAGTGGAAGTGGTGTGTTTTCATTGAAAAATTGAAATGCCTATTTCGACATCATCGACCGCTAGATGTCACTGATGCCTTCCTCTTCGTCACCTTTATTGACAGGCGCGTTTTTGCGTCTCTGTCTCTTGTGCGATGTCCTAAAGTAAAAATGTTAATTTTATGTACAAATTGCCATCGTTAATCTTCGCTCGATATCGTTTTCTTTCGTGAATTAAATATATTACTTAATTAAAGTAGAACAAGTGTATATAAAGGTTGCGTGCGGGAGTCGAAATCAGGATCAAGGTGTTGAATACAATGGATGAATCGTTATATTTTATACTGCTGTAGAACAAGGTAATATCTATATTCGTACAAGACAAAAGGCACGCAGTGACTTCGTCCTTCGCACATTAGAGCCATCATTTCCTAAGTGTTGCAGAGGTGATTATCGAATCTCTAATGCAAACAGTGCATGTAAGTATTGTGCGGTGCGCGGCAGACGCTATCGTAGAATATACATACCTCACGTTATATTCAAGCGACGCCTGTACTAATTCGTTCTTCCTTGGTGGTGGTTACTCTTGCTTGCTCCTGTAACATATTTCTCATATTGATAAAATGAATTCTTACTAATGAATCCCAGTGTTCACAATGGCTAATGTTAAAAATAAAATAAAGGGGTCTAATAAGGCCTCGTCTAAAAGTTCTGATAAAAATCGTCAATCACCAACAGGTATAAATGATGGGAAAAATTCTCACATAGTTATGAAAAGACCCTCTAATGAAGAGAACTTGGGAGAAAAAGACAAATTGCGATTATTTCTTAAGAATGGTCACCTTCTTAAAGATAAATTCAAGAAAAAATCTAAACCTGAGTTAAAGCCGCACTTGGATGTAGTCAAAAGTGGCTTAATGTCCAAAAGTGGACGGATAAAAGTCAAAAAGAGAGTGCATTTAAAGTTTCTGGATAACATTTTAAAAACTGAATTAAAGATTCAGGACAATCAACCAAAGAAACTGGATGCAAAAGAGAAGACAGTGAAAACACCAGGATCTTCAGCATTAAACAACAATGAAAGTGGTTTGAGTGATCAAAATAAAAGTAAATCTGATAAAGGACGTAAAGGTGGTGCGAAAAAAAGAAATAAGAAAAAATCATCTGAGCCTGAAAGCCAAAGATCAGTTAAAAAAAAAGAAAGAGCACAGGAATTATCATGGATGGCAAAACAATGTCTTACTTACAGTACAACTGCAAAGCGGAGAGTTTTCCAATGTGATTACTGTAAGAAATTCTTCATCAATAAAACCTCTATGCGCAGACATATCTATGTACATCTTAAAGTGGTACCATACACATGTAAGTATTGCTATAAACGATTTTATATAAAAGAAAATATGGTCACTCATATGAAGCTGCAGCACTCAAGAGGAATGAAAGTTGCCAATCATTATATTTGTGCTATTTGTGAGGAACCATTTCTGTTGAAAGAGAAATTGGATCAGCACATGTTGATCCATGTAAAGAATGAAGAGTTTATCAAGTGTATATTTTGCAACAAGCAATTTACACATCATGTACTACTGCATGAGCATGAAAAAGAACACCTCATTACTGGCAAGTACAAGTGTACCGTTTGTGACATGAGCTATGACAGCAGAAGTAATCTAGCCCTTCACATTAAAGGCCATTTAAAAATAAAAGATTATGTGTGCCAGCACTGCGGGAAAGAGTTCCTACGACTAACATCATTGAGAAGACATGTTCAGATCTGCCATGCGGGGTTATTAATACAGTGCCCAATCTGTAAGAAGAAACTTAAAGGACATTTAACTGAGCATTTACGTACACATGAGAAGAAACGTCCCCATAAGTGTCCAGATTGTGGTCAACGCTTTACGCAGTCTACACAGTTGAATGTACATCGCAGATGTCATACAGGAGATAGACCGTATCCTTGCAGGATTTGTGATCGTTCATTCACACATTCGAATGCTTTGTTGCTTCATATTAGACGTCATACGGGTGAAAAACCTTTCAAATGTGCTATGTGCCCCCTCTTTTTCTCTCAATTACCACATATGAAGGCGCACATGAGGAATATTCATGGTAAAGACCTGCCATACAAGTGTGAGAAATGTTCACAATTCTTTAAGTTGAAAGCCCATTTAGCAAACCATGCTAAGACATGCATGATGGATGGCGCAGAGGAGGCACCTGTGCAAGAGGATGACTCAACGCAGAAATATGAAATTGAAGTTGAATCTATTATGACTTTATCAAGAATGAGGTTCTTGCTGGCTCTTCTCTTCACCATGATTGCGAGTAAAGAAAAACTTAAATATTTAGGTGCGTAAATATTTATTTTATTAAGATGATTTTTGGTCACATACATAAACATGAGTGCACTGGATGTTTTATTTTGGATTTAGCATACATTGCTTCCTGTGTGTGTGCGCCAATAACAGGAACCCATTTCTCACACACTACACTACATATGTCATTATTCTATTTGAAACTATTTACAGGACAAATTTAAGCATTTACAAAGGTCCAAAGACAGACATAAATGGGATTTTGTAGAGACAAAAAACACTCATATTCACATTACAATGACTGACTCATTTATTGCACAATCATCATTTATTTTGTGTGTTTAATTTGAAAGTTTTTTTTGGTCCAAAACAGGGTTTTGAGTGTTTGTGTGCTTCTGTGAAGTATTTTGATTGTTTGTGATCCAGCTTTGTCAGTGTTATATTTAGAAAAATGTCATCTTTTTGTAGGCAGAAGGCGACATAGCAGATATCATGGGTAATTTTTCTATAAGTGAGTTCATTTACATTCCGTTAATAATAATGGTGTTGGTATTTACAGATAAACGGTGTTGGTTATGGTTGGGTTTCTTCGGTTTCAATTTTTTTATCGCTTGTGCAAACCTAAACGCTTTAAAATACTTTTGTTTGCATAAAATTCCTATTATTTAAGATGTTTTGATTAGAAATTGCTATGGTTTTGATATAAATTTACTTTAAAGTGTATCTGCACTAGGGTAAAATAATTTAAACATTAAAAATTTATAAGTAAAAAACAAAAAATTAAATTTGAGAACTCACAGAAAATAGAAATATATATCTATGGTTGTAACTATTTGTAAATACATAGCCTTATTTTTAGGTATGAATAAAATTAGTATTATATGATAAATTAAATTTTATTTTAACAGGATTTAACAAGCGCCTAATTGATGATCTTCTGATAGAATCATTGGAGGCAATGGGACATACACCATGTCGAAATGAATCTTTGTCTCCACTAAAACGTCTACGTAACAATATAGACATATTACTAAAAGGTACTGTCCCGAGAGAGAAGATGGAAAAGTTTGAAAAGGAAAATAAAACAACTGAACAACTGCTGGAATTATTAACCAATGAAAAGAAAATAAACTAGAAAAGGTTAAGGTTTTTGTTTCAGTTTTAAAATAGAATTATTTTATTTAGCACTATTTATATTTTACACAAACTTTTATTGTATTTTATGTTATAACATCACAGAAATGTTAGATGTTAGATAAATTATTTTTTTTAATAATTTCACTAAGTATTGGTAACCCAAAGATCATATTTTTATAAAAAAATAACCCAAGACTATACTAATTACAAACATGTGTAACTTGCCATTGAAAACTAAAGTGATTAGTCCAAAGGTTTTATTATAATTGTTATTTATTTTAAAACATATTTTTTAATTAATTCAATTTATTTTATAACGTTATTTTTTCTTAGGGTGTGATTGATATAGTAATAAGGTTTAGTATTAATTTCTCCGTCAAAGAGGAGAAATGCGCGATTACTTTTAATGTTCAATTGTTTAATTTTTTTAAATATTGGAGGAGGTATTTTTAATTTCTTCATTGTTTAAAACATTGTTGTTTATCAAATTATGTTTTGTGCCATTATATAAATGTGTTTTAACAATATTGCATACCTATTTAATATATAAGCATAATTATATTCTTAGGCTTTCTTCTACATAAATGCTGGATGTTTTCAACCTTACAGATAAAATTTTCTTAAACAGTCATTTGTATGCTTTTAATATAACTTAAATATTAAATGTGTTCTAAAACAAGGATTACATTTACTGTCAGTGTCCATTGCCAAACACTTGTAGAAAAAAAATAGAAGAATAAAGACATGTTTTGAAGCGCATGTTTTTGGGAACCCATAATTGTCTTTTAATTTTTAGGTGCCATTTATATTGTTTTCTGTGTAATTGATGTCTATTAATAATAGTAGATAATAAGTAATTTCTAAGGTTAATATAATATTTTAAATATCATACGGTGTAATCATAATCATTATGTAACTTAATGGTACATAGAAAAACTAAAAAGATGATGCAAAATTATTAAAATTCATTTTAAATTTCGAATTATGAATGTTCAATGTGTGGTAAACTTTTTGAATTTGTAATGAGTGCCAGTTTTAGTATCTTATATGTATTGCTAAAACACCTTTTAAAAGATATTTTATCTGTTAAAATATTGTCGCAATCGAAATGCATGCTTAATTAGCTAAAACTTGCTAAAATTAATGTGTTATGGATAACAGTATTAACAACTGTTAAATTATGATAAACTTGATTTGTAACAGATAGCATACTAGTTTGGTTAGATTTGAGGAACTATTATTTAAAAACCGGCACAATTTCTATGTACCTAAAATATAATCATTTTATTAAGCAACTAAATATTAACAATATTTCAAAATATCCATCATTACTAGAATAAATTACCAAAGATAATTATTAATAAACGTCATAAAACGCAAGTATGTTTATTTATTTGTCTCGAAACATCCCTTTAAAATTTGTTAATTAAAAAAAAGTTTTTTTGTAGCACTGCCACTTTTCTTTTTTGAGTCGAAAGAAATCTTCATAGTTTCCTTCAGAGCCTTCATCATAACAAAATTTGTAATATAGCTCTTTTAAATGAATCTTTATCCTGTCCGTGAAGTGTTCCGACATATTCTTTCGTGTGGCTCTACTAATAGATGTGGTGAAAACGAGAGCTCCCGCAGTGGTTGCATGTAAAGTGGTTTTTAAGTATAAAGCATTTGTGGTATCAGTTTGCCCTGTTTTAGAATATGCAATCTAATTTAGGAAGATCATTCACTTATATTATTAATAAGAAAATACGACTAAAATAAGAGTGGGCTTTCCTGAGGCTTTAAATTTCACCAAAAACTCATTATTATCTCTACACTACATTTTATTGATATGGCTACACTTGACAATACATTGAGTAGTATAGCAACAACGGCTAAAGTCTAAACAAATGTCAAATATCAATTTCAAAAACTGTCATAACAAAAGCACATCATTATGTTGTGTTATTCTATTATTGGTGTTTAAAGTTTCACAAATAATTTGTTAAATATTATACAGAAGAGAAAATGGGTACCACAGGACAATCGATAACATTAGCAAATAGTATAATAGGAGTTGGTATATTGGCTATGCCTTTCTGTTTTCAACAAGTAAGTATCTTCAATTTCAGACATGAAAAAAGTATACGTAGCACTATTTTTGTTTGATTAACCTACTTTTCATATAAAAAATAAATAGTAGTACTAATTAAACACAGTCAGTTCTTTGAGCATGCTAATTGTTCCATAAATATATTGAAATATCATAAATTCCTTACATTTCACAAATTCAATGTTAAATGTAAACAAATCTTAAACTTAATACGGTAATACTATACAATAGTGAATAACTCATTTCAGTGTGGAGTAATATTAGCTGGTTTAATACTTTTGCTGATGGGTTTTGTGTCAAGGCTCTGTTGCCATTTTTTACTTAAATCTGCTATTATCACAAGGAGACGGACATTTGAATTTTTAGGTAAGGTCAGTAACGTTCTTTTTACTTCGTTTTATCGGCTTAGTGCAAAAATTTTGGATCACCCGCTAAGAGAATAGGTTATTTATCCTTGGAATCATTTTTATTCAAAACAAGTTCACAAACACTTGTATTTCGTTCTTTATTACGTATTAGCATAAAAATTCACAAATTCCGTTCTATTTTTTAGCATTTCATGTATTCGGACCAGCGGGTAAGTTAGCCATAGAGCTTGGTATTATTGGTTTTCTAATGGGTACCTGCATAGCATATTTTGTGGTGGTTGGTGACTTGGGACCTCAAATCATTGCAAAGATGCTTAATATTAACCAAAGTGACATTTTAAGGTAAATACATGCCATGAGCATTTATCATTTTACATATTTTATGTGACAATGAAATATTATTGAATTGATTAGGGACTTAAAATTATTCAAATCTAAACTTAATTAGTGTTTATAAGACTCTATAGTTTTTTTTGTTAGTCATACTTTTTTATTGCAAGAAAAAAACTATGTTAATTATTTAAGCTCACATTTCTAAAATTATAATATCTTTTAGGAGTTACATTTGGTAATTCTTTTTAAAATTTTCAGGACCTCAATAATGGTAATAGTGTCATTAGTATGTGTATTGCCGTTGGGATTATTAAAAAATGTGGACAGTCTGAGTAATGTCAGTGCGGCAACAATATGCTTCTACTTCTGTTTGGTTATTAAAGTATGTGTTTTGTTGCAACTGGTATATAATACTAATGACATCACACTAATGTATAAGTTTATGTATGCATGGATTTAATTCAGGTGATTTTCGAAGCAACATCTCAGTTATTGACCAGTGACTGGCACATTCGCATTGAGACATGGAAGCCGTCCGGAGTATTGCAATGTGTGCCTATATTCTCTATGGCTCTGTTTTGTCAAACGTAAGTATATAAAAAAGTCCCTTCAATACTTTAAATTTACTAACAGTCATCTGTGATTCCATCCATGCTTAATTAGGAAATTTTATTAGTAGCCTTTGCATTCTTCCAGACAGTGTAGGGGCATAAAACCATTTAATATCAAATTTCATCCAGATTCATGCAGCTATTATGGAAATAACTTCTAAAATCCATCCATCCATTAGTAAGATACTTTTCTCTTCCTAAGTTCATATTATTATAGTTATTAAATCTTATAAACTGTTTACTTGTATGAATAGATTGAATGTACATTATATAATTTTATTTTAAAACTTTTTAGGCAACTGTTTGAGATCTTTGAATCACTGCCATCTCTGTCGTTGGAGAAGATGAACCTAGTGACAAAGAATGCTATCAACATTTGCACAGCGGTGTACTTTACACTAGGATTTTTTGGATATGTTGCGTTTAGTTCACAGAATATATCAGGTGAGTATATCAATATGAGGGATATTATATGAACATGATTTTTAAATTTTAAAAAATAAATTAAATTTTTTGATAAATATTTAAATATAATTTAATATATTTATAATTACAATTATAACAAATTAAATTTTTTTTTGATCATTTATAGGAGAAGGGGTCAACAATAACTTTATTAATTTGTTGCAGGCAACATACTTATGAGCCTGAGCCCGACGTTGGGCAGTGACGTCATCAAACTGGGCTTCGTGATGTCGCTCGCCTTCAGCTTCCCGCTCATCATATTCCCTTGCAGAGCCAGTCTTTACTCATTCCTATACAAAAAGGTATTCATTCATTAATTCAACAATATATTATTTTGTACGGAAGTATTGTGTTAGAAAATGTGTCTTTCCTTTTTTTATTTAATTTTTTACTACACAAAGTTTCATATCTAATTTATATTCAAATTATTTATAGAGTGGACATCCTACTGTTTCATCACACTAGTCAATATCACAAACTTTCGAACTAAACTTTTTATTTAGCGTTAACAAATTCGTGGATTACAATTTGGTTTACAATGTCTCATTTGTTCACATCTCACATCATAAATACATAGATATTAATATAAAAATGCTTTATATTTTCAGGTACATCCAGCGCAACATGATCATATAATAAACCATTCAATTCCGGTTACAACTTTCCGTTGCATCACAGTGGCAATCATTGCAGTGGCCCTTTTCGTCAGTCTCTTGTTACCAGACATTGAAGTTGTGTTAGGACTCCTCGGGTCCACCATCGGAGTACTAATCTGTGTGGTATTTCCTGCAGCTTGCTTCATCAATGTCACCTTTAAGAATACCAATGAAAGATTGCTGGCTAAAGTAAGTACACTTTAATGCTTTGATTAATTTTAATTTGCTCTTATGTCAGCCCGTTAATATTTTAGATTGATGTTATACAGCCTATAATAAATAACCTTTCTTAATAATTTTAATTCCTACTGTAAAAAGAATTATTCAAATCTGATTAGTAGTTACTGTGACTAAAGTGTACTAACAAATAGAAAAAATACTTGATTACTTATGTAGACAGTAGCTTACTTAATTAGTAGCCTATGTGTTCTTCTAGACTATGTTCTACATCTGTGCTAGTTTCATCTAGATCCATGTAGCCTTTCTGGACATCTATCTATACATCCAAGAATAGACACTTATAATATAAGTAAGATTAAAGAAAATGTATATTATTTTTTTTTAATATAAATGAAAAATTGCAGATTATATTAGTACTTGGTCTGATCATCCTGGTTCTTGGCACGTACGCCAACCTGCAGGCCGCTGAGAGCAAATACGATGACAAACTAATAACACAAGAGCGCATCGACAAGATTGTTGAAGACTTCTTCCAGAAGATGGAGAAAGATGAAGGTATGTGTGAAAAAGGTCGATTAATTATATAACACAACTCTTAAAAATCAATACACGAACTCACAAAGGAATAGAAAAAGGAAATAACTTGTGTTGTGAAAGCAATTTTTTTTTAATATTTTAGGTGTGAAACCAGTAGCCGGAGTAAAAAGCGACATTATAGCAAATAGTGTCGAAGAAAAGGCTCCGAAGGAGATTATAAAAGATTCCGAAGTACAGCCTCCCAATCCAGTACCGCCCGAGTCGCATTCCAACGAAAAATCCCCCGAAAATCCAATTCCAGTAGATCCGAAGCTTAAACTTATCGAACCCGATCAAGAACTTAAAAAAGACGACAAAGTAATAGGAATTTCAGGAGAGACTCATCCTAAAGATTTAAAAATAAAGCTAGAAGAAGCAAAATTAAGTAATGGAAATGATAAAGTTGAAACTAACAATATCGAGGAATCAAAGGAAGTAAAACCTGACTCTACTCAAGAGAAAATGGACATATTAAAGAAACAGCATCTCATAGAAACTATAAAACAACACGGAGAAGAACAAAAAGAATTGATAAAAGAACAGAAAGAGATTTTACATAAAATTTTAAAGACTAAAAAAGAACTAGAGAAAGATAAAAAGGAAATGGACGATACTGAGGCTAAAAAGATCGCCGTGGAAAGTATACAAAAGATTGCAAATATAGCTATACAGAGTTTATCCGGAGTTACTGACAAACCTGCAGCTCAAATAGATATAGCTGATAGAAAAGCTGAACCTTTACAAAAGATAGCCAATGAAGCGGTACAAGAAATAGCGAAAAAAGCAGCAGAAACTTTAGAAGCTATCGGCGAAAAGAAGGCTCCTGAAGCAAATCTGCCAAAATCTCCGGATGAAATTAAATCAGATCAAAACATACAAGAAGAAAATATAGAAAACAAACAGGATAATATTAATAAAATAATATCACAAATACACAATCTTAATGCTCAAAATAATTTACCTAAAACAAAACAGAACGAAGTCAATCCACAACCGATTGAAGCACAAAATAACAAACAAGAACAAAACCAACCTATTCTTAATAAAGAACAAAATGCTAAGAAAGACATAGAAAAACCTTTACAAAATGTTGACGAAATAAATAATAACTTGAACAAAGAACATTTACATACAGCAGATGAACCAAAATCATATAAAGAAGGTGAGGATTCATTAAAGAACAATGTAGCAAGCATCAGTAATATGGCACAAAATGTACCTTTGCCAATAGCAGTAAAGGGTAACCAAGATGAAGTGAAACCAAATAATATAGAAGTAAAATCTGATAAAGAAAATAATCATTTAAAACATATAAATGAAGGTATTCCACAAAACGATGGAAATAAACCAAACATTGCCGATGTTAAAACCCAAAATAACCAAAACCAAAATGAACCTGTAGTTTCTAGACAAAAGAGAGAAGTGGTCGATTGTAAGGAAACAATATTGGAACCCAAAGATAAACCAATTTGTGAGAAATTAATTGCTAACAAAATTCAACCGAACGATGTCAAAATGGATATTGGTTTGCCTGTGAATGTTCCCTTACATTCTAATATACTACGAAGATCTTTGAAGAGTTATAAAGAAGATGTAAGAAGATAAAGTTATTGATTTTAAATTTTAAATTATGTATTTAGTCATAAGGAATATTTTTCATCCTTGCATCAAAATATTTCTTGTCTCCGTAATGCGTAAATACTTTCACCTGAAAACAAAACTATTTGTTAAATTAATAATTGATTAAGAAATTGCATAAGTTTGCATTGCATTTATATTTATAATCATGTTATTTATTGGTTTAAGACTCATTTTGTCTAGATATAACACGACAGTTCTAAATTATAACGTAATACAGGCAGGGTTCGTATGTTTTGTGTTATATAATATACAATAAACAAAAAAAAAAATAACCAAATCACACTTTTTTATTTTTATACAAGAACAAATTAACGGAATTAAACTAAATATTAGTATCCAATAGGGTTAACTGATAAATGCTATCTCGTACATCCACTGGGTCCTTAAAAAATTATCGACTAACAAAAGTTGGCTAATCCGCTGACTCCTTAGTTTTATCGGCAGCTGTTCTTCTCGATCTGAAACAATATTTATATTGTGTAATGTTGCATTTCCACTGGAAAACACTCTAATACAAAAACAAATGTTGATCCTGTTTATTATTATATATTTAGTATCGGTGTTTCTTCAGAGGAAACTCACTACATTAAAGGTTTTTAGGTACGAATATCTGACATTGTATTTAATTAAAATAAATTTAAGCGACTTAGGGCTTATAGATAAAAAAAATATGATGGTTGTTTACCTCTTGCCGAGTTCAGATGTGGGCGTGGCTTCGGAGTGCTGCGGTGTGGTGGAGCGGCGCGCACGTCTGCGGGGCGTCGCCTCCGCACCTGACTCCGGCGATATGCCATCCGTCTCTGATTTCTGAATATACAACACATATAAAAATAACTTTGTAGATACTTTGTAAAGTTTTCGTCTCATTTAAAGTCAACAAAGTAGGTAAATATATAACCTTAGTGTCGACGGAAGGTCGCCGTCCTTTGGGCGTGTGCAGCGCCTCGCAGGCGCGGTTGAATGAGGCGCGACGGCCGCGCACCGGGCTTGCGTCCAGTGCTACAATACAAATATACATTTAAAAACCTCAAGCAGTGGTTGATTCCACAACAATTTTTATTGGACACGATTAGGGTCGGCTTGACCGGTGTAATGCCACGACCACAAAGAAGACAGGCCTCGAGTGGATGTAATTCCGCGTACAGTCTGAAGAGTGCGTAATAAAGGCCAAATTTTACTGTCTTTTCCGACCCTTTTAATAGGTGGACATGACAGAGGAGGGAAAGCATAAAAATGAAAACATTCTCTTTCTGTGCGTTCCCTCTATCGTGGCAGTGGTCGTTCGTTGTTAAGGCGAATTCAGATCGCCATTTGCTCGTTTACCTCCTTATGATATAAAAATGCCAACATACATTACACAATATACATTTATACAAGAATCATTTTAGATTAGAGTAGATTAAGTGAATACTTACTGACGTCGACAGATGTTCTGCGAATGATTTTCTTAGCTTTGGCTAGAGTTTCCGTCTCCGAGGCGGACCGTGCCGTCCGCGCTGTAACATATTATTATTGATGTTTGAATTTTATTATTAAAGTACTCCATCTCTATTATCTATGAAAGAAAATTACAAATTATATAACTATGCCCTTTAAAAAATTACTCCTAGTTAGTAAGCTTGTTATTAAAGCTAGAAATTATTTTTGAAAAACAGAAATCTATGTTTTCTTCCACCTTTTATTGTTTTTAATGTAAAAGCCCTGAAAGAATTCACTTCGTTGCTGCGTCTATATAACACTCAAAAATTATATATTTTAAGCAAGAAAATTAATTAATTTAATTTCATTAAGACGCAGTGACGAAATGAAAATACAACATTTTAATTGCAAAATATATACAAGGTATACTAAAACATAAGAAATGTTATAAATAATTTAAAGTCACCGGTTCACCAAGAAGCATATAATAAAAACCTATATTGCCCAAAAACCAAACTTCACAAAAAAATAATATGACGTGAATTTTATCACCAGCCTTACTATAGATGTCGTAGCACCAAATATATCACAGATATACAAAAACACTTTTTTTATACGCTACAAAGTAACCAGTGGATTGTAGTCAAAGCAAGGACATCCTTCAAATTTCACTCAATTAAAAAAAAACACATTTAAAGCATAAAGATGAGCACAACACAAAAAAGGGAAATGTAGTTCTTCCGACACCTTCTAGATTGTTCTAAGCTAAAGAAAGCGTGTACTTACGTCGTGGTCTAATCGTATCCGATAGTGTGGGGCTCGCTCGCGGGAATTCCTCGTCGTCAGCTCGCCCTAGTATATGTTAGTCGGAACAGTTAGGAAATGAGTATAGGATATTTGTGGAATTCAGATGAGCATACACAACCAAACAAGCGGAAATCAATCAATGCTACGCTATGCAAAAAAAAAAAACGAGTTACTCGTGAAATCAGTAGAGCCAGAATACCTTAAAAAAACTATTAAACTATGTTTTTTCTTAATTTTTTTTTACAGTAAAACCTTTTTTTGCTATCATTGCCAATTAAGAGCTAATCTTTTTTGTATGAAATAAATTTTGCTCATCAAAATTCCGAACCAAATTGTTCGCAAATAAAATAAAACTACAAGCTGTTATAGCTCATACACAAAGCTGCAAAATAAAAACATCGATCATTTCTACATCTTTTTTTTTAAATATGCTATAGTGCCTTAATTCGTGCAATTTAGTAGATTTTTTTTAAAAAGAAGAAATTGAAAAATTATTTACAACACAATACATAAGTTTTAAGTACATTTTGTGTTGAATTTTATTTAAATTAATTATTTTTATTTCAATATTGATTAAAATATGTATTATTATATACCATGTTGATTAAATTGTTTTAGTTGTTAATACATGCTTTTAATTTTAATATACAATAAAGAAATAAAATTTTATATTTACAAATAAAAAACATCAAATGATTATATATTCGCATTGCAATATTCATGATTTTTTTTAATAAATTTTATTCACGATTTTGTTTTTTCAAAAACCATGCTATCAAAAATATATTAATTGATAGACATTTAATATGGCATTCTACAATGACTTAGGGGAATAGCAATCAAGAGGAATTTGGTGTACAACATATAAAAATTAACAATCTTCCCACCTGATTCATTTTTCTTTACGCGAGCAATGAAGTACATATAAATATATACATACCATCGAATGTTTCCTTGTCTAACAATTGTACACGATCCATTGTATGTGTGTCTGATGTGTTGTCTTCTATTGAAGCTTCAGGTTTAGACGCGGCGCTGACGCGGCGACTACGCGGCGTACTCGGCCGTAGTTTCGATTCTAACATTGCTTTTTGATTTCGTGTTAATCTGGATAAAAAAAGTTTTTTTTTTTTAACTGTTAAGTTAGGTTTTCTTATCGTTGATTTCTATGACTGGTCTCAGAAACTCACGATAAATCTCTTTTTGTTCTTATAAAAAATCGGTTGCCATGGTAACGCTGTTTCGTCAATTACTTTTTGATAATTTAAATTATTTTACGTAGAATTAAATTAAATTTGCAAAGCTATAGGAAAGTATTTCGTATAAATTTTTAACTGAATGTCATCGTAGTTTTCCTTTTACTAGAAAGCATATAAAATAGTTTAAATCTTACCTTTCAGTTGTTAATATTTCATTAAGAACATCTTCGTTACTCTCTTCTATTTTCTGACTATCTTCTATTTCTGGTATCACACTCAATTCAGTCTTTGTATTCAATATAGATTTCCGTCCTTTTCTAGCTGCAGGCTTTTTATCTATAGGTTCTTCCGTCTTGCTCTTACTTGATTTCACAGAAGATTCTGACGCAACACTAGAGCTATCATCTAAATTCTTACTTCTAGAACGAGTTGATCGTCTTCTTGGTGTTAGGGTTTCATCAGGGGTGATACTTTCATCCATTTCATTATCTGCGGTATCTTTGGATGAACGTCGTTTTGGCATAACCCTAGATTTAGGCATTGGTGATTTGGAAACTCTTTTAGATGGAGTTGTTGCTTCTAATGTTACGTTTTCAGGAATTTCTTGCTCAATTTCTTGATTGGATTTATTCGATGATGTTGATTGAGTACGTTTTCTTGTTGCAGGAGCTTTCGTTTCTTTAATTTCTTCTTCGCTTTTAACCGTTTCCATAGCAACGGCAGAATCTTTTGTAGAAATTTCATCTTCTACATTTGTTTTATCTATATTGCCTTCTGTGGGAACGTCCATTTTAGATGGTGCTTCTGAAATAAGCATATCCTTTGCATCTTCGACTTTTTCAAGTATTTCCTTTGTTTCAGACATTTCTGTTTCAGGCTTTTCAGTTATATTTTCTGTAGCAGTAATAACTTCCATATTTTCTACCGTATTTATGTTTTCAGTTTCGGTTTTCAATATAGTAGGAATGTTTTCAAGACTATTTTCAGGTAAGATATCTTTTGTTTCATTAACAATAGCTTCAGTGTTAACAGTATTTTCAGCAAAAATATCTTTTTGTTCTTCAATAGCTGGCGATACTGTTTTTATTTCATTTTCTTCGTTATTTTCTTGTATTATAACCTCTTCTATAGGATCTGGTTCAGTTGCGATCTGTTGACAGAAATCAACAACATCTACGTCCTGAATGTTTGAAGTTACAATTTCATTCTTATCTGTTTCTGTTGGAGCTATTTTTTCAACCATCACTTCAAGTTCCACTGTAGGTTGAGCTGGAACTGATGAAAGTACAACAAATAACCATTTTGAAATGAAAAAAAAAACTAGATCCGTAAATAGTGCAGAAGTGTGAATGTAATATATGAAAAAAAAACAAAAAATCCAAACACAAAAAAAAAAATTAAATTTTTGTATATGAAAACTAAAATTTTTGTATTTTTGCAGACTATGTTCTACTTCTAAGCCAAATTTCAATGAGATCTGTTGAGTCGTTCCGGAGATACCTTCAAACAAACATCCATCCATACATCTAAACATTAGTATTTAAAATATTAGTAAGACGTTTAGAGATTTATTTACCATACTTACCAATTTCTTTATGATTACTATCATCCGAATAAGTGAGGTTAACATCAGAGTTATCATCAGTTAACAAAGAAATATTAGCTTGATTCAAAACATCTATCGATTCTTGCACATTTTCTGGTTCTTTCATCTCAATATCTTGATCCATTTTAACTTCAACTATTTCAGTATGACTCTCTTGTGGTATTTCTTCACAAACTTCAGTTTTTGGTTTATCATTTTCAATAGCTTTTTCAGTTTCAACACTGACTATGTCTGTGTTAGTTTTATTTTCAACTACGTCTATTTTATCAGTATGTGTTTCAGTTTGATCTGTTTGGGGAATTTCTTTTGAGGTTTTGTCAGATTGTAGATTTACTTGAGCAGGATTTGAATCTGAATCATCATCGATACAAATAACTTCATCACTGCTATCAGAAACTGATACCTAAAAATATAACATTTATATGAAAAGTCGTGATAAAATAACATGACATTAAGTTGAATATTAGAATGTTTTTAAAGAAATTGCTTATTTATAATGATAAATACCTCATTGTCAGCTTCCACGCTTTCTGTAGATATTTCTTTGTTTTCATCTTCGACAATTTCTTCATCACTGCTGTCTTCTTGTTCGTTATTTTCCTCACTACTACTGTCTTCTCCATTTTCTTCTTCGCTACTGTCTTCTCCTTCTGCTATGTCTTCTTCGATCTCATTAATTTCTCTTTCAATTTCAACTATTTTCTCTTTCTCCTTTTGTATAACGTTATCTTTGTTCTCATTATCTATTTTATATTTCCATTTTTCATCGTCTACCATTTCAATATCGCTATCACTCGTCATGAGACTAGAAAGATCTCTGTACGACTTTCCTTCCTCATTTGCATTGCTTTCATGAGACATTTCACTTGAAAGATGACTTTTGAGTACTGAATTATCAAATTCAGTCTCATTGAATGTTGTAAATGCTATAGCTTTTGGTGCATCATCTGGTTTGTTTCCATTGCCAGCGACACTGCTGTCGCCGCTTTTTAATACTGATTTGTTAAAATCACTTTCATTGATCGGTGTGAATTGTGGTAATGCGTTCATTTCAACATCAGGAACATTACCTTCGGTTGATTTTTGTATTTCTTCTTGTAAAGAAGATTGTATGATACTGCTCTCGTCAGTTTGTAAGACTGATTTTTCGAAGTAAACTTCATGTAGAGTGGTGAAAGCAGGTAAAGGTTTCAAATCAGTACTTGAACTGGATTCATTGACTTCAATTACTTTTTCAGTTAATGAAAAGCTTTCCGTGGAACTTTGTAATATTGATTTGTTTACTATAGGTGAAAATGTAACATCTATCAGACTTTTAGTGTTGCTAGCTTTTAAAGGTGTACATTCGATAATCGATTCAGATTGTTCGCTGGTCGATTCTTTAGTTTGGGCCTCGGATTCGCCGATTTGCTTTGTTTTAGCGAAAGCGTTTGCTTCTAGTACAAGTCGCGAAAGTGGTTTTCTTCCTTTGCTAGTAGTATCTTTTTTAGGTGACAATAATTTTTCTGGTGTCTTCGAGCGGCTCCTAAAATAGAAAATACTTTTAATAGAAAATACAAAATAGTATTTTAAACAGCATTTTTGTCTATTAAAGTTTATAACTTACCTTAGACTGCGAGGGCTTGACAATATAGGTTGTTCTGGCAATTTCTCCAAATCAGGTGTTCGAGACCGACTTCTAAACATTTAAATTATACACATATAACATGAAAATAATCAATAATAGTAACATTGACAAAGATTTGTCATAACCTGGGGCTTCCACTTGTAAAAAGCATATTGTCATCTCTCATTATCTTTTAAAAATGTGAGATAGAATATTTTTGTACAGGTATCGAAAACACACGTAACGTATGTGTGTAAATAACGTATTAATTTAGTTATCACTACAGTTTTTGTAGACTTACCTTAAACTTCTAGGGCTGCCGACTGGTTGTTCAGGCAGTTTTTCCAATTCTGGTGTATGGGAGCGACTCCTATACATTAACAATAAGAAAAATTACTACAATGGATAACAAGAAGATTTTAAGTTTGTAAAAAAGATGCAAAACTACTATTTTTTTTTTAGTAAAATATTAGCAGTTTTTTTTTCTTAATTTACTAATATTTCTTTAACCATTCCAACTAAGCTCTATGCTTGTGCTAGGATATCCTTTACGAAAATATATTTATTATATTTCTATATTTTAACCTACTTGTTTGACATTCATTACAATTGAATAAAATTGTAGGATCTGTATGTGATATAGAAAAAAAACATATTTCGAACATTCAACATGATGTATACGTATAGCTGATAACGAAAAGAATTTTTTAAAGATTTTTGTCTATATGTATGCTCTCCACAGGACCGCGTTTGTTCCAGGTAATCTCCGAAACGGCTCGACAGATTTAGGCGAGACTTTTAGACTACTTTTTTTATTCTGCGCTAATAAAATCGCGGGCGATTGCTTGTAAATAATACTTGCCTTAAACTTCGAGGACTGCTTACTTGTTCAGGTATTTTCTCTACATCAGGTGTACGGGAGCGACTTCTAAACATTAAAATTAATTGTAAAAATTTGCAAACCATCGTCCATAACGCAAGGAAAATAGTTTTTTTCTTACCTGACACTACGTCTTGTGGGTGATGAAGTAGGTGAATCGGTGTATGGAGATTTTCCCGATGCTTCGGTGATAGGTTCCAGTTTGGGAGCCTCCACCACACTGCGCTTGTTAGGCTCCGGCGTGTATGATCTACTCCTGTGTAAATACAAAATATATCACAATCAATCGAACAGAGTCAACAGCAACAGCTAGTATTTCATCATCATCATCAGCTCACTGTACGTCCCCACCGAGGGGCTCGGAGCCTACCCTAAGTTAAGGGTGAGCTAGTATTTAAATAATGTAAATAAGGTACAGTCGTATCTAGAAATGCAAGAGTCCAAGAGACCGCGATATTCTCTCCTGGAGAGGTTTCTCAGTTATGAAGGTTTCTTGCTTAAACAAATTCAGTTGGGGTTATTTTTATTGGTATATGATGAAAAATTACCTAGAAGTACGTGTTGTAGGCGAGGGTGCGGGAGACTCGTACGACTTGACGGGTGACTCTGTGATGGCGGACAACTTTGGTGATTCCACTACCCTACTCTCCACAAGTTCCGGTGTACGAGATCTACTTCTGAAATATTATAAATAAAATTGTAGTTTCATCATCATCATCAGCTCAATATACGTCCCCACCGAGGGACTCGGAGCCTACACTAAGTTAAGGGTGATTAGGCCATAGTCAACCAGGCTGGCCAAGTGCGGGTTGGTTGACTTCACACATATCTTTGAATTTCTTCTCAGATATGTGCAGGTTGTATCACGATGTTTTCCTTCACCGCAAGAACGGATAAATGTACATATGTAAATCGGAAAACACAATGGTACATGGCGGAATACGAACCCAGGACCTCCAGATTGCAAGCCAAGTGCTTGACCCCTGAGCCACCGACGAATTGTAGTTTATAACGCATAAACTCTAAAACTATTAAACTTAATTTTAAATCTTTCAATATTTATGATAATTTGATTTTATACAAGCTCCAACAGTGCAAACTCATAAACAGAAATGCATATTCTATCAACATGTAACACTTTGCTGTTCATTAATTAAAAAAAAATTCACCTGAGTCGTCTAGGTATACTGAGCGTAGTTTTAGCGGGGTGGGGGTCGCTGTCGCTCTCCTGACGGGGTTGTTCCGGGATCGGCTCCAGCGACCCGGGACTCATCTCCGGAGTGCGGGAACGACTCCTGTGGGGTACGTACACTTTAATATTTTTATCATTTTACACAATATTTTTTTTATATTGTTAAGGAACAAAAGTGCTAACGGATTCGACAGAGTTGAGAAGCGGTCGCTGCCCATAGACATTCGAAATTTCATGTTTCCCCTTCCTATGCCCTTGCCCTTCCCAACCTTTTGTTATGAAAAGTATGGATACCATTAGAAGACTAAAAAATATTATGTTTATTATATAATACCATACCTTGTCGCTCTGTTTGTTTGTAAAGTTTTCAATACAGGTGAATCTTGTCTCTCTGGTGTAATTGATCTGCTCCTGCAAATATTTTTAATATTATTAATACAACTTCATGTATCTACTGTATTTATGTATAACGATAAAAATATTACCTATTAATTAACGGTGTACTTTGCCCACTGATCTCTCTGATGCTTCTTCTCCCTCTGGGAGTTTCATTCATCGGTCTCAGCTCACATACAAAATCATCCACCTCCATACGCTTGTCATCTTTGGGTGACTGTGACTTCTGCCTACCCTTGTGCGAGTACCGCGGATTGATTAATGTGATTGGGATGTCAGCTATGCTCTCTATAGATGCGTTCGGATCATCTGATAAACTGCTGTTTACTGATATTGATAGTGACCGTCTAGAAAAATTATTCTTTAATTAATATATGTGAATAGTTATATTATAAATCAGGTGTTGCTTGCGATAAAGTCGCAGGCAACTGCTAGTTAATTATAAAAATGGAAGATGTAAGCATTTACAATTTACAGTGCAATATAATAAAATTCCATTGACGAAACACTCGTTTTAAAATATAGTTGGGCACATTTTTATTAAAGAGAATGAGGAGCTTTGACACTATGTTTATATTTAAGTATTTTGTCAGTGGAAAAAGACATTAAATAAGTTTGGTAAACACATAATTTTCTTTAAAAATGTAAGTATAATAAACAAAATATATTACCTGGCTCGTACATTATCTTTGTATGATTTCCGTGCTTGGGGTTTTCCTTCGGTTGCTAATTTCTTTGGCGGCGATTCCATTGACATTTCACTCTAAATTAAAAAAAAACAATAAATTATTACGTATTGTATTGTAAAAGTAATAATAAAAAAAATATTCAAAGAACAGAACAAAATACCCTGACTTAAGTTTATATTTCTATTTTTTGATATTTCCTACACAGTTATTATATAAATACCTCAGTATCATCTCCATTTTCAGATTGTTTGTCTGTCTGCGAGCGTACAGCGACAGGCACGGGCGTGGAGGGACTGGAGCCTGACTCGGATGCCGATGGCATACGGAACCTCAATTGCCTGAAAGTAATTTTTATTTTATAAGGCGGCAAGAGACCCAGTTGCTATCTGAATTCGCCTAAATGGCGAAGCGATCGCTGCCCATAGACATCCGAAATTGCAGATGCGTTGCCTTCCTTAAATTTAAGGAGGAGGGGAAGCGGAGAAAGATAATATTTCACCTTCCTATGCGTCACCTTCTCAACCAAATACTCATCCCCTTCCCATCTTTTTCGCATAAGAAAAAATTGGGAAGGAAAAGGTGCTTAAACTTTGGTACTTAACGGCCGTCAATAGTTTCTCTAACTTTCAAGTATCAATGTTTTCTCTTAATGTTGGTTTCTGAGACCAAAATCCTGTATAAAAAAATTGTTAAATCTGTATTGTCAAAGATAATGACAGGGATAACAATATGTTTTACATAGAGATTTTGGTTTTAGAAACCAACTATTAATGTGTCAAATTGTACTAACTTGGAGTCGCTGTAGTTGGTCTTATTGCTGGCAGTCTCCAGCAAGTCGTCCCCGCTGTCGCACAAGTAGCGGGAATCCACGGGTGATGCGGGAGCCTCTCTCTCCATACCCTCTAGTCTTTGAGTCTGAACAAAAAAATGGTTCAAGCGATCGCGATATTTTGTCTTACTAATATTTTATAAACGAAAGTTTAGATGGATGGATGGATGTCTGTTGTCAGTATGGAAGAATACATAGACTACTCATAAGTTTTATTTTTTAAATTCGGACGGAGTTTCGGGCGACAGCTAGTATTCTATACATCTCAGCCCCCGGCATATCCACTTCCCCTTCCCATTATTTTCTTATTAGAAAAGGGAACGGGAATATAAATATCGAGATTTTTTTTAATTATACAATGGTAGTAATAATCAAATATGTAGATTAAAAAAACATCTATTTAACCTTAAGTATACTATGTGGAGTTCCAGCTTCACTTCTCTCGTGATATCTATACGGACTCTGAGCTTCAGGCATATCGAGAAGCGTGGCCATTTGTTCGCTGAGCTCCTCGCTGGCCTTGTATGTACCAGGCTTAGGGGTCTTCGGACTGGTCGCCTCCAACTTGGTACGCTTAGCAGGCGTCATTTCACCCAAACTTTGTCCGCTTAGGAATAGACTGGAAATAACATATGTATTCATATGACACTGGTCCCGTGGGTTTAATTAACTCCAGTTTCCTACATTTCAAAGGACTAAGATAATTTATTTACAAAAGATAGACATAATTACCTACAAACAAACTTTTATACGGTCATAAATTGTAACTAGTAAGGAAAAAAATAAAACAAAATAATTAATAATTACCTCTTAGTCCGATTTAATTTTGGTGTACAAATAAATGGTGTCTCTTCAATTTCCAAGGCACGTTTGAGACCCTTTCTACTTTTAGGCTTGTTGGTCCAAGTTTCGCTTGCATTTTCAATTGTATCCTAAATAAAAAAACAAATTATTACTAACTGATAGAAATCTATAAAGCATATTTTAATTTAAAACCATGTATTTGGGACTTAAAAAGTTAAAGGAAATATCACCTGAATAAATGTTGATTTGTATGTAAAGGTGTTTTTAGGAGATGTCACTTGCACATATACCGACATTGGTTTTGGTGAAATAACTGAAAAATAAAACGTCATTTTAAAAACTAAAAGTGTAAACATTCCTATGAGGCAGAAAGGCTGAAAGCCCCAAGTAGGTGGCGCTTGTAAAAACTGAAAACAGCAGCATCGCATCCAAAATGCGTTTATTACGTTGTTAAAATCCTTATACTATATACATACATATTTACATTAAAAATTCCAACTCAAATCAATTCTACAATTCGTTGTAAACACTTCCCGCGCGATGCTCTTGTATTTTCAACTATCTTTTTTCATAATCAAAAAGGCAAAGGTCGTTAGTGGCCAGTATGCCAGTACGGCAGAATGTTTAATTCTGCAAAGAACAGCGCTAATGTCAAGAGCTGGCTGTCATCTGTCATTTTATACGTCATTCTATTAATTTAAAAAATAAATAAAATTCTATTTTCTTGCATATTCTTCGTTACTCTGCCGATGTGATGGGAACAGCTCCTTACGACTGCGCTGCCCTCTAGTTTGTTGTAACAATTATCATACCGTGCGGCTCCAGATGTCGTGTCGCAGTGGTGGCGACGCGGCAGGCGATGGCGGGCAGCGCGGCGCACGCGGCGCTCAGCAGCGTGTCGCGCGTGTTGCACCGCTCCACCAGCTCCGCGAGCGACTCCGCCGATGTTGACAGCTCTTTGCGACTACGCTGATCTTTTAATTTGTTGTTGTATTCTTCTGCCTCTAAGTACCTGGGAGAATTTATATTGATTATTAGAGTTAAAGAACGGTAGAAATTAAGTACAAGAAACATAATGAAACCTCGAACATAAAAGACAAACAATGTCAAAAGAGCCTGTTAAAAACAGTATGGAAGATATGAAAAATATTTACCTTGCTTGCTGCAAATAGTACATAATAAGTATGTCCGAGGTTTGTGTGTCATTGCAGTCTTTGAGATACTTTATGAAGACTTCCTCTTCTCCAGGCAGTAACGTCACTTGAAGAACTTTGGAGAGTTGGCCTGTGTTGCGACATCCTATAGTAATAAAACGATTTTTTAATTTACTATATCAAATGTATTTATAGTCTACACATTGTATTTTAACTATATTATTCGCTTATTAGACGAGGAAAGTCCGAAGTAACAATAATAAATTTATAATGAGTACGACAATCGTTACCAACCTTTATAGAAGAAATTTAATACACGAACTTTATCTTCCGAGGTTGCAGCATTCCTCACACACATTCTTATCACATCAATGGCTTCAAAGACCAGACCTCTGGCAAGATATAAATTGCAACAAGATTGCCAATCATCTAATTTATCATGGTCATTGACTTTGGAGATGCCATCTTTTCTGATAGGACTTTGTATTGGCGCTGGTTTCCGAACGTGCAAGTATTGTAGTGCTGCTTGTGTTTTTTTCTGAGCGAGCAAAGAGGATAGAACTACTCGATGTTGCCAGTCCGATAGAGTGTTGCCAGTCAGGCATTGAAGTTGATCTAATGCAAACTGAAAAATACGTTTCAAAAACATATTATAACGGTACTATAAAAACTAGAACCTTTAATAATTTTCCGAATGTATGCGGTGAAGTTCGATTTTGTACCCAATTTAGGGTAAAATATTATAAGAAATAAATAAATATTGAATAAATTAAAAATGGACTCACATCAAAATCTCTATGGTCTAGATGCCAAAACGCCTGTGTCGCTTTAATAGCTGTATTGCTCAAACCAAACATTGTAGGGAATTGCATCAGCCTTCTGATCACTGCTTCATATCTAAAAGAAAAAAAATATTAATGTAAACATTCATTACCACTGCTCAGAATATTGTCACTTCCATTTTTATGTACGAAAAATTGTTAAGATCCAATTTCATACAAAAATTAACTTTGAGTCTATAACGATAAAGTTCAATTTACCTTATCTCATCGTATACGGTGCAATAATCCAACAACAGATACAAGACAAGGGAATGCTTGTGCTCCTCGGCGACATCAGGCAGCAAGTAGAGACGCAGCAGAGAATACAGAGAGGGCGGTGGGTACAAGCCTCTACAATCACTGCCACCTTTCATCCACATACTGAAGACAAGAACACATATCAACCGAGGTAATAGTAACTAAACTAAAGTATAATATTTTTTATTAATAAAGACAACTATCAAATTTAGTTTTTCGAGCAGTATTAACACCTTAAGGATCCATTCGACCAGGCCGAAGTGCAGGACAATTTTTTTTTATAAATTTTGCATATCTTTTCTAATTAAGAGCCTAAATAGGAGGTGACAAGTAAAATTAAACCTTGTTTCGATGGCATAACATTGAATTTCATTTGCCATAAAATGTCTTCCCCCCCTGGTCTCTATGAACGGAGCTTTAACCGACGAGATGTATGACGTGAAAGTGTAAAGAAAATTGTGTTTTCTTTTAAATTTGTTTACAAATTGCATAATTTATTTGTCTATTTACCTAGATCATAGGTAAGAAATAGTCTAAAAAATGTAGCTGCGTAGTCTAACTTACTCGTGCGTCCTTTGGCCACCGAATTCGTGTTCAATAAGCTGATCGATGTAGAGCAATGAACAGGACCTGTGGCCCGCCTCCGCCTCCTGAGGAGCGTTCTCTTGTAACCGATGTAACTTCAGACGTCTGCAATTAACACAGATAACTTAGTTGCAGCAACCAAAACAGTCGAACCTTGATAATGGAGAATCCAAGGAATCACTATATTTTTCTTGCTTTTTTTCTCTCTTACTAGAGTTTCTTGCTTAGAAGGGTTATCGGTTGGGAGCGGGCATTGACTCTTATAAAAGTATCCCGCTTATCCAGATTCGACTATGGCAAGATGAAAAGGATTGACCTAATTTGTTTCGTACATTTTCGAAGAAATTACATAAGAAACGTTGATCATTCAGTACCCACAGACATACGACTGACTGTCGAGTGTTCGCAGATTGCTTGATTTATTACAAGCTTATGTCACTATAATTATTATATAAGAAATATATTTCCCAGAAAAATGTACGAGTTTAAATTACTCTAAATGGTCAATAATACAATTTAATGGAATTACCTTTTCTTATATATATTATAGAGCTGATGTGCGGGATAAGGCAACGCTTCGTATGCGTCATGTCGCTCCGGCAGCAGACCCACACGTAAGAACCACTGCACCACTTGGAAGTACAGGGACACTATCCCTATGCCTTTGTATTTCTCCTCCATTTCACTAAGAGCTAAAAAAATAGAGTTAAATGTAAATAAATACTACTAAGCAATAGTGCCAATGAGTTTTTAGATTTATATATGTACAATTATCCAACATTCTAACGGTGAAGAAAAATATCGTGATGCAACCTGCACATATCTGCTAAGACATTCAAAAGAGAATTATGAAGTCAACTCACACTAAGCCTCAGTTGTCTATGGCCTAATCACCTGACTTATGGTAAGCTCTGAGCCTCTCAGAGGAGATGTATAATGATAATGATACTCAAAGAAGTAAAATGGTCTGTAAGAGAAACCCTTAGTATGTGTTTAAAATGACAAATCGACACTTTAGTGTAGAGTTATGTCATTTAGAACTGTGTTACCATAATTACTTATTTTTTTATCTTATTTCATAATTTGTTCACAAATTATTTAGAAAAAAAATTAAATAGATAAAATATTATTAATGAATAAACATACCATCAGGTACAACCAGGTTACAGCATTTAGTTAAAATGGCGTCCAGTAATCCTGTCAATTGCGCCAGCTGTTGTACGCAGTGTTCGAGACATCTCATTATGTTCCTAAAAATAACAAAAAATAATTAATCTATTTTCCTCGATTATACAAGGTTTTGTAATTTTATAAGATTGAATTATCAAAGTTAATGTAACAAAGATTAAGTTATAGCTGAGATAAAAAAAAATCGGAAGGTACTTTGAGAAAATGTTAATTAAGGTAATTTACCTATCAAAACGTATATAAAAATACGTGAGTGTTTAGCCGTTTTTTTATAAGTTTATTATAATGTAACTAACGAAAGTTTGACAAATTTAACTTACCTATCAGGTAATATTGTCGAAGTAAACAACGGAGCTACCAATTCTTTTGCATTTTCCTTTAATTCTAAAGCTCTTTTCCAACACCATTCCACCTAAAAGAAAGAAAAAACATAAATTAGTAAAAACCAATGTAAATAATTCATTTAACTAGTAAGATTATGAAAATCAAGTTTATAATATCTTTTTCATATTTGTATGGCCAATAATATCAAAAAATATTTAATTTACTGTTTTCGATATCTTTTTTGCTTTGGTTTTAAACATTACTAGCAAATGAATGCGACTATTTCTAAAAAAATAGTAAGGAATGTCAGAGATAGTGTTAGTGTGTTCGAAGACTATTAGTATAGTATATCAGCTTTTATCATGACACAAAAAGAAACAATTATTGTACTATAAATATAATAAACATTTTAAAGATTATATTACATACCAGAAAACTAAGTGTACATCCCAATCCAGTGTGAGTACCAGTGGCCCAGTCATGAGCACAGCGCTTCAGGAAACGTGTAAGACGAGCCTCAAGCGCCACCGACAGAAGGAATCTGCGTTGCTCTTCCTATAACAACGAATGTATTATCTAACAAATACAAATAAAATACTTTTTTTCAATATTATAAGGTGTCAAACGAACAAGCGGCCAAAGAATTCGGCAAATAGTCACAGAAAGAGAATATTTTCTCTTCCTATACACACCATCCTCTGTCAAATCTACTTCCACAAAGTGAAGGAATGGAGGAAAGAAAAGAGGATTAAAATTACGCATCCGAAATATACACTGATTATACGAAACGCGGAATGACTCTCACTTGACGCCTGTCTTCTGTGTGCTCATGGTATAGCACCTGACAAAACCAATTTTTTTTACTTAGAATTCTGACTTTAAATCTATACTTAGGGACTTCCTAACTAGCTACTGATACTGACCTGAGTAACATTCCTGCCGTAGCCGTGGCTATATGGTACATATAACGGTGTCAGACCAGCTGTAACACATGCATGGTACAATCTGCCCGGAGACAGTAATGCAGTAGGTCCTGCCTCATCTATTGAGTTTATGATCTGACGCTGCACTCCCACTGTACCGAGGATTGTCGCTTCTGATGTATTCAGGCAAATACAGTCTGTAATAAGAGTAAGATAGTCTTAAAATTTCAAATTAGACGCTTTTATATTAAGATTTTAACATTTACTATAGCGAAGGTAAAATTTTTCATAGCGTGACCTGTGAATCATTATAAGGAATTACTACAATTTACTAACTTACATGCAATTTTATCATAGCCAAAGCGCCAATAGCTTAATAGTTAAGGGTACCAATTTCAAATAAAGTAGTCGAGTTCGAATCTTGTCATTCGACTATTTTTGTTAACCATATCATAGCACAAGCTTAGTTGGAATGGCTCAAGAAATATTAGTGAAATAACAAAAATCTGCTAAAATTTTCATCAAAAAAAAAAGGTAAAAGGATAAAATAAGCACAAAGTATGCTATGCCATAAATTACTAAACACAACTTACTATACTGCAATGAATTTGGGTAGAAATGTTCCTCTAGCCGGGTAGCATGTGAGTATGGTGCAACTGAGGTGAGCACCAGGCGTGCGTCTAACGCAGGCCCGCATCCCTCGCCCACCACAGCCGGACGTAACACGCTCATGAATCCATTGCTCTCCAGTTGGTAGGTAGCTGTCAATGTTTTAAAGGAGTAAGCAAATTTGTACATATACAGCTCAAATCACTACAATTCTTAAGATAATAATTTTTATGTAAAACTGACCGGGCATTTGATCTTTGTACCACTGATCTAAATCGAAAAGCATCATCCCATACTGCGAGGTCTCCGCTTCCTGTTCGCCCCAGCACTCCCACACCAGCTGGCAAATGTTGAGCATACCTGAAATTATCATTTATGGTATATTGTTCCATGTTTTTTTTACTCACAGAACAATGATAAAAATTGTTGAAATACACTTTAGTAAGGTAAACTCAAAGTTTTATGAAGTTATTATTGATTTTATTGTTACACGATATAAGATAGCAACCACTTTAATTTTGAGTTATTTCCTTTATATTTATAAGAAAATTATGTTTGAACCACATCACTTAACATCGTCATGGTTAAGCGCTAGCTTATTCAATTTATAAAATAATTACTAATTTTAAAATATCCTATATACGATCCTCAATAAATGTAACATTTTAAGATGGCTTTTAAAAATTACTTACTGTCTTCGCCTTCTTCACCTAGAGGTGAACTGATGGTATAAGTGTGGCATGATATACACCTCCCACCTATCAGAGAATTGGACTCCTCAGACCCATTCAGTTCTATTTGGAATCTTATTGTGGCTGATGAGAAATCCTATAAAAAAATGACATGCAAAAAAAATTAAAAAGGTTTTTTTTTACATTTACTATTGTTAATATGTATTTCAAAATGTATTTTTATTTTTTTTTAATATTCAAACAAATAATTAATTTGGTTGCTTGAATAATATATGAAAACTTACTTGATATAAGCATTTTGATTCTGACAAGATCCTTTTGCCTTGATATGACAATGAATACATCACTGCCAGTGGAAACTCTTCCTCTTCAAATCTATCTATCACTGAGAAAACAACCCAGAGATAACAAAACGCTTTCGGATCATCACAAGGCTCCTAAAAATAATAAGAGATAATTAAAAAAAAGCAATTCATTAAAAATCAATAAGAATGACTGACTGCATCCTGGTTTTTTTCAGTCAAGACAACACTAAAAACCTGACAGGATTTCAGTCTAAAAAAATTATGTTCCTTTAAAAAATTAACTATGTATTTTTTGAAGTATCATATTTGACCAATGTTTGATATACATAGATAAAAAATGTGCAAGTCAAATGACACCTTATTCCTTAAAGTTTATCAAGCAATAAGATTATGGACACAATAGGAATAGAACACTGGTAGTAACCTACCTGAAATCCGAAATGGGTGACAGGCAAACACTCAACATTAACTTGTGAAGTAAATTCCAAGTCTAAAGTTAAAAGATTCCATATTTGAAAAGCTCCAAAGTTGAAGCCAACTGCTAAACTTCCTATTTCCGGTATATACTGCAGACTGGTGACTCTGATATGATCTCTCTTGGCCTTCATTCGTACTGTACCATCAGGGTTACGGAAGATATATTGTCCATCAAATGAAGAGTCATCATTCAATATGAACCCCAAGTGATCGTCATTTTCTAACGCCAATTCTCTTTGTTCTTCAATTTTGTGCAATTCCTTTAATGGTAAAAACTTGATGTTGGCTGCATTCTCCTCATTTAGTACCAAGTGTTCATAGCCCTGGGAAATGTCTTTCAATGCTGAAAAACAAATATTTAAGAAGAATTAGGAGAATGTTTACAGTCACATTGTTTATTAAAAATGAAACAATTTATGTATTTTAAAGATTAGTTTAATATCATTTTGATTTTTTAAAGTAAAATTACCTTTAATCAAAGAAGCTCTATTGAGGTCAAATATCAAGATCTCTCCCCTCTTTGTCCCTGCTGCAATAATATTATCAAATCCTGCAAATGGTCCATCCGGGGTTCCATCACAAACTGCAAGTTTTGTGATCACAACATCAGAGTGTATGCAATGAAGTAATTGTGAACCATTAACATGTAGAATGCATATCATGCCACTGATGTTATCATAGTCCAAACTGATGACTAGCTGATGGGAGTTCTCTGTTAACGGTGTTGGCAGCTCTACTACATTTGATACTGTGATACGGCTGTTACTGGAAAATACATAAGCAGTTTATACACATATCAGGTAAATATCCAATTGGAGCTCAATATTTGTAGGTTTGTACAGTTGATTGAGAGTTTTATTTAGAACAGTTTAATGTTTATCTGTTGCTAAAGTTTTATATCCATAGAAATTGTTCATGTGGCCACAAAGCCTGCATTTTAGACATATCACCTATCCATTCATGACATTGACTTAAAGTCATATTGAATTAAATTTAGTAAATTTTTGTTGTTTCAATTTTGAATTTTACTATTAAAATGGATAAAGACTAATATATCATTGATGTATTGTATTTATGTTGTGTTTACTGAATATATAGCGTAGGTGCATTGATGACGCAAGTGAAGACTTACCTCACTCCATTGCCGAAAGTTCTTGCGGCCACTTTCAATCCGCTTCTAAGGTCAACAACACAAAACTTAGGACCAAGTGCAAGCCATCCAAGTTTCGTGTCTTTTAAAATTCCACCAAGCGGGGTGACATCTTGAAACAAATTTCAAATTTAATATCATCAAATCACTACAATATTTACTATTGCTAGCAGTTACTCACCCGTAAACTCTTCCGTTGGCTGCAAAAAACTAAACACAGCAGGAGAAAGATTGATCGTCTTAATAATTGAGAAAACACTGTCTTGTAACTTTTGCATTTTTTAAATGATTTTATAACGAACAAACAATGATAACCAATAAATATACTATTAAAGGTTATAGAACATCTTCTTCTACTAAAAGGACACATAAACAATGATCTATATATTCCTTGACTTTATATTTACAATTTGTATTGTAGAGATTTAGAATTTATTACACACAAAGCATATTACGATTATCCATTTGTTAATCGCAAATAATATACGGTACGCGCGGAGGTATTTTCAATTTTGATGTTCAATGACATTGACATCTGCTGATTTCAATATAATTCAAAAGTGTTGCAATGTGGAGTGTACCTAACATATATTTAACGCTCTCTAATCGAGGCTTAATTATTTAGCACCTAGGTATTTTAATTTTAAAATCTTGTTTATTATTTTCAGTAACTTTGATTCTGATTTGAGACCTACAGTTTAACTAGATGAACAGTAAGCATAGCTTGGGGTACTGTTCATATTGCAACATTTTAACACAACACGTCCAGGCAAAGAGTATAATGTTGGTGTCAATTTCACTTTCCTCACTTATGTCTTTTATATTATAAAAATCCAGTATTTCATTCTTTCTATCCTTTCATTTCTTAGATATATTTTAAAACGTTTTGGCCGCTAATAGTTTTCTAGTAAATTTAACATTTTGTACTTAGGCTATAAAGCTCTATAACACACAATGTTGTTGTTAAACAAATATATACTGTAAGGTAGTCCAAATTTTGCTAAGGTAGGAAAGAAAAGGCAATCATGAAATGTAAGTATTTTTATTTATTAACATACGAACTATTAAAATAAAAGTACTTTTAAGGATAAAAATTAAACATCGAAATTGAAAAGGTTCATTATTAATGGAGGAAGGTCTTTTGAAATAAAGCAAACAAAAATATAAATATATAAATTGGCCATGACCACGCCTGTGGGTACAAAAAATTCTTACTCAAGATTAAATAAACTTTTTCTTTTTAACCTTAAACATCGAGAACTTGAATATACTACGAGACGGCGGCATTTCTGAAGACCCCAATTTATTTAAACAAACATACAAGTTTGTAAATAGAAGTGTGTAAACTACTTAGACAGTAAGCGAAGTAATACGATTAACTAAAATAAGATAAACAAAAGAAATATATTTATTGAAATGAACTATCTACTTAAAGTATTTAAGAATATATTTAAAATAATTTTCATTTGTAAATAATATAAATATTTGGAATATAACACGTAAATTAAAATTAACCGTAAGGATTAAATAAATAACACTTAATATAAAAAAGATACAAACAAAAATGATAATATAAATAATATTGAAGATATCGTGTAGTTGGGGACTTATTACCAGAACTTTAAAATATAGCGTGACTTTTTTCTCTTAAACAAGTCTTTAAGAATATGTTAACGATATACATTAATTTTCCTTTGGCTTTGTTTTAAACAATAAATAAATGTTTGTATTAAATATTTTGTCTTTATCAGGGTGGATAACTTCATTATTCATGTCAATACAAAAATTTAAAATAAAACATATATTACCGGAAAATTTCTGTGTAAAAATATATGTGCCAATTTACTTTTATCATCTTTCCTTTTATTTTGGAATCATTAACCAAATTGAGCAAGAGCAATTATTTATTGCACTTTTTTACGGTTGACAGATGTCACTGACACATTTACTATATTCTTGTCAGTTTCGTTTGCGAGTGGACTAATTTTTATTTGACCCTGGACAATATTCATCATTGACGTGTACGGACTGTCCGGAGAATTCTTTAAATTGTTTTCTTCTTTGTGTTGATTAAGGTCCATGCGAGTGGCGACGGTTTCGTAAACCGTATTCTTCATGGAAACGTACGGCTGGGTTGTGGATGGATTCTGTTTAGAACCCGGACTAAACCCATTTTGGGTTATAACCGGATTATTTGGTCTCGATGTTGCTCCAGATACATCATTTTCCAAGGGCGAGTCGTTCGCAACGTTTGATGCACTGTCTAAAGAGCTATTTCTGGTTACGCGTAGACTATTGGATCTGGACGAATTGCCCATAGAATGAAGTGTTGAAGTACTCCCTCTTTGATTTTCTAGCTCTTTGGTAAATACTTCTTCAGTTCTTTGAAATCTTTGAACGTGTGAGGACAAGGGGGTTACAGTTTGGTGAATCGATGATCCGGCTAAAGATCTACTCGGGGAGACATCGCTTGCTCTTTCTACAGATACTTGTTTTCCCTCAAGTCTGTTTGAAGTACTTTTCTGTTGTGAATGAACGTCTAAGGAGCCGTACGCACTGTCTTTGGTAGAGCTGTGAATTGAGGTGTCTTCTTTTAACCCATACCGTCTGGCTACATTACTCGGGGCAACGGGTTCGATGTTTTGTACGTCATACGATAGAGGATTTTTTTCAGTATGTTTGACGCCTTCGATAACTTCACCAGTTCTTGGATTGATATGCTTCTCGGTGTCAAAACGGAGAGTTACCCGATGGCTTTCATCGATGGGATGTGGCCGTGACCTGTCTTCTAGCTCTCCGTCGCTTTCTTCCATAATACTAGGTTCGTAGTTACTTTCTTCCTGCAAAACAAGACATTTTATATGATAATGAAAAAAGTTTAAACTCCATGAAAAATTACAAAATCGATAAACAATTCACGTACCTCTTCGTCTGCTTCTTCGATCACGCTATTTTGTATCCATTCACGTATTCTCTGTTTCTTCGCTTGTCTGTCAACAATGACTTCGACGCCATTATCCCTGAAGTGCCTCAAAAGAATATTCTTTTCATTGGGATCACTATGGTAACTGTACATTGATGGACATAGTTCGTCGATATCCCCGCCAGCTAGAATAAAAAATGGAATGATTAGATTAAGTTCTTTTTTATGCTAATAGAAAATTACTTGGTGAACTTACCCACTCTGTCGGTGTATCCTTTAGCCATCCATCGGTCATCCAAATATCTCGATAGTTCCACGAAGCTAGTAGCTCTTTTCTCTTCCTTTGGTTCAATAAACTTTTTGAACATTTTTTGAGCTCTTGATGAAACCATTTTCCATAGCTTCGGCTGCTTCTTAAGAGGATTTGCACTGCTGTACCAATTCAAATAACTGTAAAAAGATTTTTAATTTTATCATTTTATTTGTTATTTTGTAATGCACTATCTGGTGATTTGATGAAAATCCTCATGTTTTAAACATTTAGAAAGAAACTGATTAGAAAAAGGAATAAGAAAATCTTAATAAATATGTATCACCTCGACGCTAGTCACATTGAGACTCAAACCCGTCAATAGATTTAAAACAGATGCCGTTTTGTTTTTTTTAATAGGTGTAAATATTATCGCTTACCTTACATATCTAGGATCGTCGAATGCTGCTTTCTGCCAAGGCAAGCATCCTGTGAGACAAATAAAGATAACTATACCGAACTGCCAAATATCATGACTAATTAGTGCTCTGAAACAAACAAGAAAAGTTTACAATCAACAATGAATTACATCATCCATTATTAAGATTATATCTTAAAATATTTTCCACCGTTTGACGCAACATGTATGCATCGCACTGTTTATTTGGATACCATTGATGTGAGTACAATAGGCAATAGATGCCAATAAATTGTTTACTTATAATATAAAATATTTATTACTTGTAGCTGCTATCCATCGACAGTTTTAATACTTCGGGCGGTGAATACGGTAGCCATTCATTTCTTCTTCTTACAACAGCTTGAACTTTTCTCGTTTCACCAAAGTCGCATAGCTTTATACGTGAAAAATCCGATTTGAATATTAGAATGTTATCTAGTTTTACATCTCTATGTACAAGGTCCCTTTGGTGTAGATGTTCAAGTGCAGCTGCTAATTGCTTTGCTACTCGTTTCGTGTGAATTTCTCCGATTCCAGTATCAAGCATATTCGATGTTAAGTCCCCTGGAATTATTTTTTCATATTATTCAAAATTTATAATAGCGTTGAAACTTTACACTTAAATTATCTTTAGTGACAGTATAAAAACCGTTTGCGACAGTATTGTTTTTTTTAACTATTGTTAAAGATATAAAAAACTCTGAGAGGGAAATAAAATACGATGAGAATGAGGTCGGACATTGCAAACGGGCTAGATCTAATGTTCATTCAAATAGGTGTTTTGGACAGGAGCCAACACGTAAAGATTGCAAGAAACAGTTTAGTTTTGAATTTGTCTCGTTCGAGCCGTGGGTGCTTACATTGTAATGTAATGCTTCAGCCAAATGATGTTTTGAGTAGCGAACAAATCGTTTCAAAGTGCCGGATAAATCTTACCTAGAGGTGCGTATTCTTGACAGAATACGTAAAAGCCAGCCGTTTCGAACGCTACGTCGAATGTTGTAACAATGTTTTTGTGTGCACTCAAATGTAGACCATAATGGAATTCTCTGTAGAAATCTCTAATAGATACGTAAGGTTTTGGTAAAGCTTTCAGAACTATCTCTGTATCAGAAGCTCTATGTTCCACAAGAAGTATTTTCCCGAACCAGCCTTCGCCGACTATTTGTAGTATGTCGAATTCTTCGACCAAACATACCTAAAAAGGAACTCAATTTAATTGTAATATTTTTTGTTTATAACTCAAACCAGTCTATAACACTTACTTTTTCCAATTCAAATTCTCTTATTTTGTGTATTGAGCCAGTTAAGGCGCGTCTTGTGCCGTTATTCATCTTTATATCTAGAATATGGATTCTAGATCATTGGCCACTCTAAAAAAAAGGTAAATTTGTGATCCAAGGTAACAAGCACTGAAGCATTCCAGACAATGTTGAATCCAGCATTAGTATAGAAATTAAATCAGTGAAATTATTATAGTTTAATTGTTGTGTAATAATAATCGTAAGCTTCAATTAAACATACGGAAAAGGCTGGGGAGACTGTCGAAAACTGAGACGACTATATTTTATAGAACTTGAATTATGACGATCTCTTTATTTTTTTTCTTTGTGAGGCAGTGTCATATTTGTCAGTGTTTATAATTTTTTGTAGATTAAATACTAGCCGAATGAAAGACTCCCTGTCCTCATTTCAATTCAAATCATAGTAAATGATATTGGCCTTTTGCCAGGGCTGATGTCTACTCCAGATCCAGACTACAGCCCTGACGTCATATGGTGACGTCACTTATCGGTAATAATGGCTTATGTTCCATTTGCTTTGGATGAATCAGAGTAATTAATTTACTAATTTTAGGTTTAGCATTGTAAATAATCATAAATTTTGTCATAAGTATTTAAACAACAAAACAACTTTTTTTTCTAGCCTAGTAGCCATATTTTTTATCACGGTAAGAGAATTGATGTGAAGATTTAATTTTCCAAATTTATCCATTACAAACATTTGATTTAGTTTCCTAATGACACTTATGCAATAGACGAGAGAGCTGTGTTATAATGGCGCCAAATCAAAGTCCTTAATCTTTGCCTAACTTACTTGATTATCGACGTGAGTTGTATTGTGTCATGAAGATTTTATTCCAAGTGATTGTTAAGGTATTTCTGTTTACATCATTCACTTATTTTAAAAGTAAAATGAACAAAGATTATACCGTGTGATAATATTGTATGTAATAATCAAATAAATAAAACTGGACGTGCCAAATGCGATTCGTTCCCAACGTTAGACGATAAGTCCGGAAATTCGTCATTTATAAATAGTAGTTTCATATATGATGAAAAAGTGAATTATGATTTCCTCTATGAATTTTACCACGAAAAATTATAACTAGGTTTATTACGTCATAGAAAATAACAAGACTATCAATTTCAATGTAATGCTGATTAACAGTGGTAGAGCCCGCTTTAACATCTTCGCACGAATCGGCCCGGCTCGCCCGGTGAAATACCACGACCACATAGAAGACAGGCGTCAAGTGGAAGCAATTCCGCGTTTCGTCTGATGAGTGTGCGTCCCGGAGGCCTAATTTAGTCCACTTTCCCTTCGCACCCTTTTTTTAAGGAAAGGATGGGAAGTAGAAATGGACTTTCCGGATGTGAGGATGCATGGAAAGGGAAGATATTTTCTTTCTGTGCATCCTCTCCTCCGTCGATTAAAGGTAGGCAACGCATATGCAAATGCGTATGTCTATGGGCAACGGTCACTTCGCTATTTCAGCGTTTTCAGGTGGCCGCTCGCTCGTTTACCACCGTTTGCTATAAAAAAGGTATAATATTAATGTTAAAATTAGGAATTAGGAAATAAGTAACGGTCAAAACAGATACCTAGCTAGTTGATAATATTATAATTTATAATAATGCCTTTGATCCATAATAAGTATGTAAATTATTTATATTGATGATAAAAACTAAAGATCTAATTCTTTTTGAAACATCTAAAAAATAATGGCATAATTTTAGTGAAATACATCATTAAATCTTCAAGGATGTCTCGGAGATGTGACATCGGAATGTGCACCTGCACTATAGATAATTTAATTGCGCTACAATTCACTTTATATTTAAATACAGACTGTAGCTAAAATTAATATTAAAAATTGTTGAGAATGGCAATCTGTAACTTCATATTCCAGACAATTCCAGACAAAAACAAGTAGATATAAGTGACAAAAAGAACTTGCAATCAATGTGAAGGGATATATGTAGAAGAAGAGATGGATGGATTGCGTGATAGGTGACATAATTAGGAAAGGAGAAGACTTAAATGACGAACGAAAGCTACACATGGTGCATGATATTTACACACTGGAAAGCTATAGGTATTCAAGATAGACTTCATACAATTAAGCATCTTAACCAGAGCGAGAGCGCGAGCGTCGGTGGCTCAGGGATTTAAGCACTTGACTTGTAATCCTGGGTTCAAATTCCGCCATGTACCAATGTATTTTTCGATTTTCGATTTACATATGTACCTTTATCCGTTAATTTTACGGTGAAGGAAAACATTGTGATGCAACTTGCACATATCTGAGAAGAAATACAAAGATATGAGAAGTCAACCAACCCGCAATTGGCCAGCGTGGTTGACTATGGCCTAGTCACTCCTAACTTAGGGTAGGCTCCGAGCCCCTCGGTAGGGATGAATGAGCTGATTATGATAACCAGGGTCCTATTAAGGTCGATAAATTTAACGGCTATAACAACAATTTTTTATATCAAATTCTTTAAACAGAAGTCGAAGCATAATTTTGAGTCCTGAAGATGAATAATTGCTTTGAGTTATTCTTAGTGAAGAACACTTCATTGAAGTCCAAGTTAGTATGAAACAAAGACTGTTGGTATAGGTGAATATCACAAGAGACTGTTTTGTGTGTTAGGACAAATAAAGGCACATAATTAGCGTATGGTGATAATAAATCTCTTTTATCTTTCTGCCAATTCCGTCAAGCTCGAAGTCAAGTTCGAAGCTGTCAATCTGCCAAGATTGTTTTTAGCGTAGTAAGTTCAAAGTGTAGAGGTAAGTGTATATTTTGAAATAATTCCAAATTGATTCTTAGTATCTTCTGTAAAGTAACGCTTTCTGTCCACCTCAATTTATTTCAAATGTTATCACTTTAAAACTGGTATTTTATAATTTAGCACTTTTGTTTATGATCATTTTGAATTATTTTTAATGAACAACGAAACACAACGAGCAAAATGTTTTCAATTCCTAACACAATCTCCGTACGAGTTAAGAAAACAGACATAAATTTGGCAGAAAATGTTCGCGCGTATGCAATCATTGTTGTATTAAGATCGCTGTTTATGAAATCGTACTTAAATATATATAAAATGTTACTTATGCAGTTTTTATTTGATCAATGCTCTATAATAAACAAGTTTTTATTCATAAATGAAATTGTTTTAATGTAATGTTTCCATTAGCCCGCTCTTTAACCTCTTTGTTTCATTGTTCATTTGTTATTTTTTAATCCAATTCCCGTATCCCTAACGTACCAGGTTATAGGTAAACTATGTTTAATTGACCAATGTTTACTTTTCACCGATATTTATTATTTAACTATTAGTATTTATCGAAAATGTCTATAGTCTTTGATCGTCGCATTGTCTATTGCCTGTTCTTTTATTTAAATATTTCAACTTTTCAACAAATTCAATAAGGATTCATGTGCATCTTAGCCTCCAAATTGAATCCCATTCGACTTATGATAATTTTCTTTAAACATGTAACTACTATTAGGCACCTTAGGTCTATTTTTTAAATAGACTGATGTGTCTATGACATAAAATGGAAAAGGAGTTCATGTGGTATAAATCTTCATTTATCCTGTCCACCCTATTTAGGTACGAGGATGGTGCTACCTAATTACTGTACTCATAGTAAAATAAATTATAATAAAAGGAATCTATGTCGAACATTCGATTTTCATCAATCAATTACGATAAATCCTAATCGAAAATTAATTAAAAAAACATTATTACTTAGTTGTAATTAAGTTAACACGGGTTAATACATTTCTTATAAAGATTCTGATGGTTGTATGATATGAAAGCAGATGTGCGTAAATTACCGACTATTTTAAAACAATCATTCCTCGATTGTTCTCAAATCGTAAAGGGATAACCACCCTTAAACCACACACGTAAGGTTCACAATCAGTTTGGTTTTGTTCCAATCACATTGTATCTGGTTGTCATATTTTTTACTCTTTATTATTGTTATCACTTTGAGGTTATATCACTGGCGACACTTGAAGCATTGGATTGATGTTAAAACAATTAATAAATCACAGTAAAGAGTTTCGTGAGCGCGCCGGGAGCCGGGAGCGGCGGTGGCGAGTCTACTGGCATCGCAGCGACACCCGGGAAGCTATTTCTGTGCTGCACTACACTACACAAAAATCAATTTATAAAGGAAATGTTACGATCAACGACCCGATTATAACTATCTATTATTTTAAGTACCCATTATATGATCTTAAGCGCCTTGCAAACGATCAATTTTTTGGTTGAATTTGATCAATATCAAACCAAACTTTTTGCTATGAATAAAAGCGTCACACAAAGCCCGATTGCTGAGTCACAATAACTTTCTGACTCTACCCAGAATTTGATACCTTAGTAACACTACTTTTACTTTAAGTTTATTTTAAGTACTTACAACAAAAGTTAGCTATAAATATAAGGTTTAGTTCAATGTCTATGTTTACTTACGTTTTGTTTTCTGAACGTCCTAAATGACGACCATGAAATTTTAATTAAAATAAAATATTCTGTATCCAAAAACTGTGTGATACATTACATTAGTATGATGCTTGTTTCTGAGCTATGTTACGAGTGGCTAAGACTGACTTTACCCCACTTATGTGGGTTCAAATACACGTTAGCTTATATTAGGTAGTAGGCACGTTTAATGACCTGGCCGCTTACATATTTGCTATTTTATTTGAGCTATTTTTACGTTCGTAGTTCCGAGAAGTGTTTAGTATAGTTTGGTTGCGATGGTAAATCATGAACGTGTTTATTTATGCCTTCAAGCTTAAACGCCTAATGGATGTTTGCAATGCATTATTTTAGTATCCAATATTCAATAATACTTGAAATCTGTTTTGTATTAAAACAACGCGGGTTTTAATGGGTTTTGGAAGAAATTGTTAAGGATATAATCTTTTTGTAGAGGAAAATCACGGTCATTGACAAAATTATTAAAACAAAGTAAAATCACAAAAACAAAGGAATATTTTCCCTGCACTCTGGTAGACAGCAGGTGTTTGAAAACATTTTCGTAGTAAAATATTTATTTAACGGTACGTTTACCACTCCTTGCTACGATATAACAATTAAAAACTTAAAAAAAATGAGAAAGTTCTCCATTTAAAATTAAATTTGCTTTAAAACTCGAATATAAGATTATTACTATGTTTTTTACAGATGTGAAAATTGAATGTTGATTTTTTTTAAATTTCATTTTGTTGTCCGTTCTAGCGGACAATCCTCATCTGAAACGGAAATAAAATATTTTAATTAAGTAATTTAAATAACTTAATGTTAAAATTTTTTTTCCAAATATTGTTTAATTTATCATCTTTTGTCTTTTATTTTATTGTTAATCTATGTAACATATGATTTTTGACACTGACAGTGCTGACAGTTGTTATTTCAGTTAATTGACATTGACTGCGACAGTGACATTAAACGTAACTTGTTTTGTTGTTCCCAGTTTTGTTTTGTGTTTTAATTTATTATTTCCTTTCTTTTCTGTAAAATTTCATAAATCAACGGTGATATTAGCAGTTATAAAGAAGACATTAAAATTGGTTAGTACATAAGCTATTTTTTTATTTTAAGACATTTCAAGTATAAAACATTTAAAATTGTCTTTCCGCTAGTATTATAAAATAATGTTACATTTTATACATTATGTAAAGTTTTGTATGTAAAGCTTCAAAGAAAAAGAAGCTATGGTGGGTGAAATAAAAATTTTATAGATTTTATCTTCAAAATTTCAATTTACTTCCTCTTAAATTTATAAATATTTCATATGATATAAAACAAAAAAAAATGAAGCACTAAAAATAATCACAATAACTCCAAAAACACAATTTTAATTTTTTATTGTGAGAATTAGACACATCTATTCGCTCCACATCTTCAAGACAGATTGTAGGTAAAATGAAGCACATATTTATAATGTAAAAAGAAGTGAAAACATTTAGAACATAAAAATACTAATTAAATTAATTTTACATAATAACATCCAGAATAATTAAGAAGTGCTTCCTTTATTAAACCTGTTGATGTTGAGTTGAAGTTATTTATGTGAACTACTTGCTTGTTTGGAAAAGTTTAAGCCATCAGTGACTAAACTCTATCTTTTGTTTTTTTTCTTTATCCTGTCTTGTTCTTAACTATAAAATGTTTTGGGTCAAGGGAGATATTTTTTTGTCGCCATCATATTGTAATGTACAGTCAAAAATTTCTTATTATTGAATTTTTTAAAGTTATCTAATTAAATTGTTACTAAATACTTTACTAAATTATCCCCGGTTTTATATTAAATTGATTTACGAGTATGTGTTTGCTAATAATTTCATGCTTAACTAATTTGCCACACTCTTTCATGAATCAAAAAATAGGTAAACGTAATTGTTTTTTTTAATATATAATCAGTCATAATAATTAATAATTTTTATTTGGTTAAAAAATAAATTACATATCTATATTTGTATTTATCCCTCTACCAGAATTTAGTAATGTGTCTGATGGATGGTCTTAAGAGAGAAGGTAACCAATGTATAGTATAATGATTTAACTCAAATTGTGCAATATTTAACCTGTGAATTTTTTGATCCGGGGTGCACTTGCTTTTCCTTTTTTTTTCGTTTTTATCCTACCTCTATATTTCTTCTTCTTTTATAAATGTCTTGGTATGTTAGTCACTTCTCAATCCTGTAGCTTTATATTTTCCCTATAGACCAGTAAAACGGAGAATGCAATTTTAAATCGACATCGTTCCGCAAGAAGCTATTTAATGCACCAACTGATTTCTGGCTCCGATCGGGCGATAAACGTTCGCTTGATGGCGTCCAATTTTATGGCCGTTTAAAGTTTAGCTTTTAGTGTTAATAGTAAATTGCTTTGGCAACTACTGACGTCGCTACGACAACGCTTCTTGCGAAACGTGCAGGCTCATTTGTCCGCTTACATCTCGACCATAGATGTTATAATTTAATTCATAATAATATCTGTACGAGCGTCGGTTGCTCAGGGGTTTAATCACTTGACTTGACTAGCGGGTCCTGAATTCGAATACCACCATGTACTAATAAGTTTTACGATTTTTGATTTACATATGTACATTTATCGAACATTCTTACGGCAAAGGAAAACATCGTTGCAACTTGCATATATCTGCGAAGAAAGTCAAAGATATGTGAAGTCAACCAACCCGCGTGCCAACGTGGTTGACTATGGCCTAGTCACCCCTAACTTAGGGTAGGCTCCGAGCTCCTCAGTGGGCGGGTTTTCTATCGAAATACCTACCTAATTTTATCTTCAATCTCCATATATATATATATTGTAGCTGCTACTCGCAGATTTTCGATTGTTTTAGTCATCGCGATGTGAAGGTATGTTTCTTTCAGCAGGTCAGCAATTAAAGAAATACTTTGTCCTATATAACATCTGTCATTGGTCTCATGTTTTATCGAAGATTTTCAAGGTTGACAGCTATTTATTGATATAAATTAAAATCTAATTTAATCCAATGAATTAATTATAGCCAATTATACAAGTAAATATGTACGCTATATTTAATTAGAATAAATCTTATCTTGAACAAGCCTCACGTGGCCTTAATATGTGTTATAATAATTCCCTCCCATATTTAACTAGATCTAAATTTAATTCCTAGAAATAATTACGCGGACATAATCGTTGCTGACGACAAATCGCCTAATTGACTAAGCAAACGTACAATTATGATAAGACAAAATATGTCATTACTTTTGTAGTACAATTGTGTTTCACGTTCATTTGCATACCTACGACAATTATGGTATAATTTCTTATTCATATGGAGGTACAATCGATGCAAAAAGTGTTTCAGTAAATTTATAAAATGCAATGCATGGCAGTGAATGTCCTCGGCGGTATTTACAAACCGCTACGACTTAGGGTCCTTTAAGAAGCAAGCGTATCACCATCTTAAAGGCCGGCAACGCATCTGCGGTTCCTCTGGTATTGCTGATGTTCATGGGCGTCGTTGAACACGTCGGTGTTCCCGCTGCTCGATTGCCCTCTTGTGTTTTAAAAAAGTATATCATTGTAACTTGTTGTTGCGATTGTACACGTGTAATTGTTCCTAATTATGAGCTTCAATAGCTGTTGAATTAGACGTATTGTCGATTGTATAGTCCGAATTAAACATGTGTTTTAAATTATTGTTGTTTGTTTGTCTTATGACGTAGTATTTTTTCTTCAGCCGCCGTATATAATCTTTGTCACTTTATATGCTTCGCAATTGTAGCTAAAATGGCTTTATATAATTGAAGTTAACATAGATGAGAAATTTGCAATTATCATAGTTTACGTACATTTTCACTCGTTAGTTAAAAGTCGCTAATAAGACATTCAAACTAGGTAAGGTAGTTTACTGTTATTTTGCGTTTGGCTATATAAATCCATCAACAATAAACTGAATGTTAAAAATTGATGCTTGTATTGAATGTTTGAGGTATAAACACAAATTATTTACAGTTCGCGCACATCCATTGTTATGTAGAAATCAATCATCACGATAACAGCGAAGACTCGCCTCGCGTAATTACTGTAAGCATTTTATAAGGAAGCCAACACTAACAATCCATCCGATGCCGTCGTGTGGCCCGTTACTTAGATGCACGCCGCGCGAGATAGTCTGCAACGATTTAATTAAACTATTGTACATAGCCCATTAACTTGCAGTTCCCGCTTCCCTTAAGGAGTCGGCCCTCTTTAGGCGAGGAACGTTTTATTATGCCTCTTTGAGTCTTTAATACTTTGTATCGATTTGTAGCCGCAATGATACTCAATACTTTGTGTTAGTGAGTTCTTATGCGGTAATCATTTAGTCGATTGTTCCTTCGGTGTGTTATTTCTGTATGCAATCATTGAAAATTATTACCTTGTTACATTGTCTTATGGTTGGATATTTTGTTGTAAAAGTCTGAGAAATACGGTACGCTCCTTGTTTGTGAAGTTAATCGAAGTTTAATATTTGGTTAATCTATATAAAAAATAGTAATCTTGAAATCATCTGTAAGATACTATCTTAACATAGAGATACTAAACTTAGATATTTCTATAGTAAATTTCTTATGACACTAGCTGTCACCTGCGACT